ACTGGCCGCCAGGTCATTAGGGACTCTTCCACTAGCCCCCCGGAGCCCGGAAGGGGCGAAACCCCCAAGCTTTTCGGTTTTTGGGCCGAGTGGGGGGAGAATCCCACCCAGCGGGGGGGGCCACTCGGGCCCCTGCGGGGAAGGACCGAATTCGGGCCCCCCCCTTTTTACCCCCGGCAGCACGGGGTAAACCGAAAAAAAAAAGGGGAAACCGAGAGGACTTGCCTTCCCCCCTTCCGGCGGGCCAAGGGGCGGCAGGGGGTTGCCGAACCCCCCAAGGCGAGCGGTGGCCCTGGAGCCCCCGGATGGGCCCCGAACGGGGGCCCCCCCCCCGGGCCCGGGGGCACCCCGCAAAAAAAGCGAAAGCCCCGGCGAGGGGGGCCCCCTTACTGGCGGAGGGGGGGGACGGACTGAAAGGACCGGGGGGCCAAAGCCTTCTGTACCAGGGGGGAGCCCACAAGCCGGCTGACCTAGGTTTTTTTAACCAAGAAGCCTTCCTTTTTTCTGCCCAGCGGTGTGTGTCTTTCTCTCTCTCCCTCTCTCTCTCTCTCTCTCTCTCTCAGTCTGTCTCTCTCCCAGGACTCGCTAGCTGGCTCTGCGACGGATCTGACTCCCTCGCGCTAGCTACGCTCTCAATTTCCTACTGAGAAATGCCGTCGCAGTGGCGGATCCAGAAGCGGCCTGGGGAGGGGGGCAAAGTAGCACTTTTTGTCTACCTTTCAGGAGGATATCTAGGGGCTAGGAAAAGGGGGGCTGTTAGCCCCGAGGGGAGAACGAAAGGCCCAAAAAACCACCGGGGTTTAGGGTTTTGGGGACCCCAACCCAAAATTTTAAAGTGTCCAAACATGAATTCACTGAACCAAAACGAACTGCCCCGTTTTAATTAAACCCCAATTCATAAGAAAAATTTGCAAAACCCCTTCACCGGGGTAAATTTAATGGGGGTCAAATGGGGGTAAAGGGGTCATGGGGGCCCGGGGCTGGGAAATTCTTGGGGGGGGAAGGGGCCCCAATATTGGGGCCAGGGGGGCCCCAGACCTCGGAGCCAAAAATCTTCCATCCATCTGGGGCTTGGGGGGGGAAGGGGGGCTAAAGTTCAATGCGCACAGCGAGTGAGAAACGAAAGGCAAGTAAACAACACTGTTAAAAAAAAGGTTGTGCAGAAACAATCAGATGAGTGGAAATTTAGTCGTTCCAAAACATAGAATTTCATCATGAACCAAAGCGAAACAAATGTCCTTGATTCAAGTAAGCGACAATTTGTCATTGAAGAACAATATTCTTGTCATCACCCTTAACAATACAATTTGAGTGGAAACAACATCTTTTGCAATTATCTGCTCAATTAAAGCGTATTATGAATATTCATCTATTTTGTTCGCCAAGTCATAGGGAAATTACTATTGATAAAAAAAGAACCATGCAAAATAAATTTAGCGACAAAAGTTCTCCATGAGTACTTGTCGCAGACATAACAAAATCTTTTTCAACTAACAATACTTGTCGTTGAAGAACATCATTTGTTGTTCGTCAACGACTTGTTTTTGAAGGTGGACTGTTGATGTGTTATTACAAGTTAGTGGTTGTGAAATTATCCTTTAGTTTCTGTACCACTATGGTTTAACAAGCTATTCATTTCACAACAAATGTTGTCGTTAAAAAAGTTAGTGACAAATATGTCGCTAAGTTACAAAATTTTTATCAGTGAAGAAGATATCGAGTGAGAGAGAGATTGGGAGGGGGGGGGGGGAATTCCTTGGCGCCTTGCATGGGTGGGCACGGAGACGTGTAGGGGGTAGAGGGGGGAGGGGCAACGACGAATGAAATGAAAAGAAGTAAAACTCAAAGTGGTCGTGCGACGCCGCCACTCAAAACGGTGATCCGGTCCCTCTCCTTTTTTTTCATCCCCGCTGCTCCTCGCGACGCCACCGCGACCACGCCGCCGACTTGTACCAGCGGCCCCGGTTAAAATTCATGAGAGATAAAAGAGTGCCACTTTGGCGACGCGCGGCAGATAAACAGGGTCAGGCGGACCTCGGCGCCCCGGCGGGCCGCGACAAGTGGCCGGGTGCAGACTGATTCCGAGAGACGTTTTCGTCGCTCTGTCTCTCTCTCACCTATAGGGAACGCCCCGTGAGTGCGAGAGAGACAGAGCGACGAAAACGACTCTCGTGATCAGCCTGCTGTGGATCCGAAGGCCGACAGTGTTCCACTCTCTTGCACTCCTTGCACTAGAACGCCCCAAGAGGGAGAGAGATCTGCCGGTTGGGGCACTCATTGTCCACTGCACTTCGATCGCCGCTCACTCAGGGCGTGCGAACTCAACATGAAATCAGATTTTGGGTTCGTTAACAGGTAGAGATAAAAAAAGTTATGCGCAGGGTGATTTCAATTTAAAATTTTAATTTTTGAGTTTTAGTTACTTTATGCATAATTTATAAATTCCAGCCGTTTACGAAATAAATCTTCAAAAGTCACAAAAAAAAAGTTTTTTTAGCACGCTATGCAATCACTACAAGTCAAGTAACACTTCACGTTGTTTTAAATGCAGTGCCTCACTGTATTTTGAACGAGTCACCACACACGACGCACTTATTTCTTTGCTTCAAGTTCAATCTCAAGTCCCAGTTACTTCACCATACTTTTTGAATACTTGCGCTGAGAAGCGTAAATAGCGCTGAGTCAACTTCCGGTATGAAAATCCTATTTCCCAGAATTTCTCATACATATGATAGGCTTTTGTTTCAAAAGTTGCACGTGCCTTACGCAGTTCGCTGCCAGGCCTGCTGTTGTACTTCTGTCTGGGACAAACATTTTTTTTCTTGTTAGTTTTCAATTTCTTCGGCGTGGACCAATTTAATGATTCCCAAAAAGTTATGGTATGGTTTAAAGGGTGAGGAATGAAAATACCCGCTTTAAGGACAAGAAGTAAAATAAACCAGGAAGTGGTTACTTTGGTTGGCAAAAAATTAACTAGAGGAAGTGGACGAAAAAGGTAGTTTTTTTAAAGAAAGAAAGACTTACTGTTTTTTTTTAACCTTTCTGGGGGGAATTATTTGTCTAAGATTTATTTCCCAAACCGTAAGAAAGGATTTTGGGTGCAGACATATCCAATCCACGACGTAACAACTTAATGTGAGAAACTTGCTTGTGGCAAGGATTTTGTTCAACCAGTTCGTCTAAAAAATTGACCATTTAAAAGGACCTTTCAAAATTATTTGAAATTTGGAAGTATGGAAACAAGGCATAAAATTTTTTTTTTGCGGATAGCTTTGACGGAATCTGGCAAATACATTTTTTCTCAAATTATCCTAGGGCAATTTAAAGTTACTGTAGTATCATACAATATAAAACCAAGCCACACTTTAAGAGCAACTCCTGCCCAAAGTGGACCGGGATCTGGGATTGGGTCACGGAATTGTTTCAAACTTTGTGGGTTCAATAAGTACCACTAGGAGGAAAGCTGGCTACCTCAATTAACAATTAAGATATTTTCTGTTTTTTAAGTTTTTACAAAATTTTCCAAAAAATGTCCCGGGCGATTTTTTTTTCTAAAAATTTTTGCCGGGGTTTCTTTTTTTCTTGCCTTAAGTCATAGGAAAAAGAGGAAAATGGTGCAGGCCAGGTTTTGACTAATTCTTGGTTTTGAAGGAATTTTTCGAAATATCAAAATTATCCCCGATATTCCATCTCGATTTACCCCCGGAGTCCGTTTTTATTTTCTCTACTAAACAATTACTATGTAGTCCCTAGGAGCAACAATCCCATAGAAGCCCTACAAAAGCAAAAACTTAACAAGTTGCACTAAAAAAATTTAATGAAATTGTTTTGAGAATATTTTACTAGTTTACAAGGGGCGTCAGGAATTTGAATTGGAAGAAAATGCAACGCTTCAGTTTAAAGTTTATTTGGAGTTCATTAGTTAGCTTTTTCTAGAAGGTTTAGTGCCCTTAAAATCATGAAAATGTTCCATCTTGATAATAATTGTGAAAACCCTGCTTTGGTCTCAGGTTGTTGCACTTATGAGCTGAACGCATTGACCAAATAATGATTCATGCATTTAGGTTGTTTGCAACGTTTTAGTTCAATAGGTTAGTTATTGAGACCAAGTGGTTGAAGTTACATGTTGCAAACAACCTAAACAAATAGATCATTACTTTGTTAGTGCGTTCAGCTCATGGGTCCAACAACCCCAGATCAATTCAGGGTTTTGACACTTATTATCAAGAAGGCATTCTCATAATTAAAAGGGCACTGAACCTTCTAGAAAAAGCTAACTAATGAACTCCAAATCAACTTTTGGCTGAAGCAATGCATTTTCTTCCAATTTAAATTCCTGACACCCCTTATAAACGTAAAATTTACTCAAGACAATTTCATTACAATGTTTTGGAGCGACTTGAGTTTGGGTTTCTTCGTTTGAGTAGAGACTACATAAATTGAGGGTAGCCAGGATCATTCTTATCACCCAGGGTCATGGAGAAGCCCCAATCTTGACATAAGCACCAAAATAGGTCAAAATAAAGGATTGAAAAAATTTGCTTTTGCTTCTTTTGGGTTTTATGGAATTGACTACATAGTAATGGTTTAATAGAGTAAAAGAAGTGAAATGAGACATACCAGGGTCAAATCTAAGATAAAATATTTTGAGGATGAGAGTTTTGATGATTCCAGCAGAATTATTTCTCGTGTAGGCCAAACCCAGCAACGTACAAAACTTGGTCTGCACCATTTTTCTCTTTTACAAATGGCCAACGAGAAGAAACAAAAGCGAGTGCACATGATTCATGCTGTGCAAGTTTTGATACAAGATTTAGCTTACAAAGTATAAAATGCAGATCGATTAAACTGAGGCTTGAGTTGAAAGTTTTTAGGCTTGTTCAACTAAGGATAAGTGAGTACTGGACCAACTATGGTCAGTATCAAACAACCAGCCTCTTTATCCGGAGTTAATATTAACACATTCTCAAACCTATCTGAGAACCCATAAAGGGGGCACAGTTGACAAAAACTCACCTTGGGACCCGCACAGGAGAGAAAGCCTTCCAAGTGCAAAGGAATGTTCGGTCGAACAAGGAGTCCCAGAATTTATTTCTGATGCAGCGAGGAACCAATCTCCAGAATGTGATGAAACGATCATGCTTGGAGTTGGTCTGCAGAAACAGTTGCATACCTACACTCAGAAAACTTTACAAACAATTTTATGCCTTACAAAGAAAAGTAGGTTCTCATAGCAAAGTATTTTGAGCAAACGAAAGAAATTACTTCGTAACTGATTCAGGAAGCGGAAGAGGGGATAACTCCATTTCAACTGTTTTTCTGGAGAAACAAAAAATTGTTTTAAGGGGGGACCCTGGTGAAAAAATGGCCAAAACTGCCAAAAATAGTATTTTTAAAGTTCATAGATAAAAATGTGCATAAAAGGTTTCAGGTTCAACAGGTTGAACACCTTTAAACTATGTGGGTAGTTCCTTCATCATTTGGAAAGAAATAACGAGATCAGATGTCGTTGGCTTATACGCCAAATTCACAGCTTTGCTCAGTCGACAAAAAATTTTTTCGTAGAAAGATTTCTGTGTTCCTGGTTGACACCTACATGAGTCGTCTTGCATGGACTCTATTCATTGAGACTTGTCGACAAATTTTTGTGACGGAACCCTTTATATCAGGCCTACTTTTTTTAAAACACCTAAAAGTTTTAAAAAAAAGGGAAAAAGTTCACTTTTTTTTAAAAGTTAAAATTTTAAAAATTTATATCTCAGGACAGAAGTTGAAATTGGAAATTCCGTCACTAAAATCTCTTCTAAACATCTTAAGGATAACCCCAAAAAATTTTCAAGACTTTCCCTTCCAATGAAAGACGCAGGAAGATTTTTCTCCAACGCTCTAAAAAACACTAAAAAGCCACTTTTCTCAGAGACCGTTCAACATTTTGGATTGAATTTTGTTTTATGAACTCACCATAATGAACCTAATAATCAAGCAAAGTTTCAACTTTCTGGGATTATTTTAAAGCCTACTTGAAAGTTTCACCAGGGTCCCCCCTTAAGTCACATTATGAGATAAACATCAAAAGTAACTGTTTGTTACTGTGGTGTATTTTTGACTTGATTCTTTTTTACATTAAGGTTGTTAAAATGATAGAGGGTTAAGTTGACTTGATTTTTTTAACAATAGATTAATAAAATCACAAGTTGAGTTATCTCATTTCAGCAGTATCAAAAGAGTCATGTTGACTACGATTGAGATGCTTCAAATTTTTGCTAAGTTGAGAGCTTAAAAGGGGTTTAGTAGAGATGTATCCTTTTATCGTCTGGATTTTCTCTTAAACTGTTAGGAATTCAGTCAAATAATTTGGTGTGATAATGTAAACTATTCTATGGCACATTAGAAGAAGACCCAACCTCGGTTTTGAGATAGGTCAAATTATTTTTTCCACTTCCTGGATTAATTTTCGAGCTATTTCTTTGCATAACACGCTAAATAACCTTATATGCTCAAAATACTTCCGAAGGTTTCTAGTAAGTATTCTAGTTAGAGACTTCATAAAAATTCGCCGTTTCGCAAGCACCTCAGGTAAATGTGAAATTATTCTATGCAAGATCCGAGGGGCAAACAACTTGAATTTTCGTGTACATTTTCCTTGAAATAACGTTGAAAGTACATGAAATAACGTGAATTTGAAATAACTTAGTACAAATTTTTACGAAGTTGTCTACCCCTCGGCAAGATCCTATGCTTTTTCCCGTTCGTTGTCACTGACATGTTTGAGTGATTTTAATACAAATTTAAACTTAAATTTGTCGGTTTGACAGCGAACGAACGAGAGACGACATGTGCGTGAGATCTGCTACAGCTTGCCGAGGGGTAACACTTTCCCCCAACGTGAAGAAAAATACCGGTATTACCCCTTTTTAGGGGGAAACCGTGTTATTAGGCCCAAATGTTTTGGAATTTGCCAAAATGGTTAAAATTTTTTGTATTAAAACCCCCTAAAATACGCGTTTTTTGAAGGGGTTCCAGTGTTTTTTTCCCACTTTCCCGCGTTGCGGAATGTTTTGAAAAGACACTTCCCCCCAGAAACGCTTGAGAAAGTAAACCGGTAAAAGTCCTAAAAGCCGGGTTTTTAAAGGGAAACCGGGTTTATCTGATTCTTAATGTTGTTGAAAATTTTGAAAATGGTTAATTTCATGATTTAAACCCGCTAAAACCTCCACATAAGACGGTTTGAGGAACTGATTCCAGTGCTTCTTTTCCCTCGTATTCTTCACATGACGTTCTGCGGAAAAAGCCTTTTGAAAAGATCTGACTAAAGCACCTCAAGAAGTTCTCCTAGGTCTTCGCTAGAAACCTGCTACGCCAAGATGTGGCCAGAAAGTACTTACATTGTGATACGTTACTTCATTGACCGGCTTGTACTGGAAGGATGAAGCGAAGACCGGAAGTCAGATACTGCATTTCAGTTGAGCTGATCGAAGTAAGGCAGAGTTGTCTCATTGCGTCTCACGTGATTCCAATAAGCTTACGATGGCTGAAGTCCGAGCGTGATCTGAAAAAGGGAACAGAAGATTTTACACACTATTCCAAACATAGAACAGTTCCGCATATCGCACCAATCCGCGCTTGTTCGTCTGCCAGCGTATGAAACATCCTGAATGCTACTTGAGGGATGAGCTAGACCGGAAGTCGGGGATACATTATTAAATAGAAGGAAAGATCGGGAATTTTGAGCTGGCACCTATCTGCAGTCCGAGATGCGTTTCTTCTTCGACTGAACGAACTTCAACTAATGATGTAATTTCCCGAGAAGTAAGAAAAGACTACCGATAGCGTCAATGATACACGCGTGCGTCGGTTGGGGTTAGATGAATTCTTTGCAACTTTATCGAGCAACACCGAGAATGAGAGATAATCAGGACTGAAAATTTTGGGTGAGAAAGGTTCCTTGCCCAAATTTGGGTGAGAAAGGTTTTGTAATATTTGTAATATTCATTAGCAATTGTACAAAGCCTTTTATTTTCTTTGTAGTTATGAATTAAATGCTTAGAAGGCCTTTAAGAGGGTACTTGACAGGCATGCTGTAAATAAAATTGTACATGGCAAGCACACCCTAATTTACAGCCATCCCTGCCCTCAGTGTGTAAGGACATGTCGTAGACTCTTTTTCTGAGCATACCTGCAAGTAGCCATCACTCAACCTTGGCTGACTCATGTCAAACAACGTACACTATTCAGTCTGCAAAGTGTACAGTAGTGTACCACCTGCGAAAACGACTTGGTTCACTCAATTTCAATAATGTGCTTGACAAACGTTTGATTTCGTTTGTTTCAGCCGCCCGTCGCCGGCGAGCCGCAGAGCCCGCATCACTTCAAGCGCGCACGAGGCTGTTGCCGCTTGGGTACAGCGACACGCTTCGCCCTGCACTGGACAAGCCGCCTGCTCCCGGACTCTGCCACCCACCTCCTCTCTCTCTCCCACACCTTCTCCGTGGAACGCGTCATAAACATCGTCAGTCAACGTTCTCAGTTGGCCACGACACGACGCCCAGGACGGACGAGCTGGAGGAGCGCCCAGAACAGTCGGCCGGCGGTCGGACGGACTGCTTCAACTGTAACGGGAAGAAAACCAGTAAGTATACCATTGCTTTACCACTAACCTTCTTAAAAGCCTACACTACAAAACCTTACTGTCTTCTTAGTACACACTTACAATAGGCCATTCCGCTGGTTGGAAAAGAGGAAGAAAAGAAGTACACAACTTCCGTCCCCCAGGGTGCGAAAACTTAACGTAACCGGTAACTTAACGGAAATTCGGAAGATACCATTATTGCCGTTATTTTAATTTTGTTAGTTAATGTTAGTAACAAATATAACATACGATTGAAACATTACCGATAAAATTATACCCACATCTAATCAGGTTAACAACGGTTAATAGCTATTAACGGTTATACAGAATAACGATTATTGAAATTAACCTTAATCATTGGAGAACCATTAATAACGTTAATTGTGGCCCATCGTTTTTAGGTTGCAATTCATATCAATAATCGCAAAACCGTTCCGATTTAACGTTATTTTTTATATTTCACGATGCGCTTCTTTCTCCTTCCGCGCGCTCGCCTGGCGTACGGCTTGATAAGTGCCGCTAGAGTCGTATAGACCCCTTTGGGGCCCCCAGAGGAGACTTTAGGACTCGAAGCGCCGACTTATCGTGGACGCGATTTCTTATAGCTCGGCGAGGAAGCCGTCTAGCCTTGCTTCGCTTGCCCGCTATGATAACGATTAAACATTATGTTATTAATATGAAATGTAACCGTTAATTGCTACAGGATTATCGTTACTAAGGAATAACCGTTATTTTGCTAAACCAAAACGAGTTGTACTACTCAAAAATGTGATCTTTTATACCGTTTAAATGTTTATCCACAGTTATTGTTACTATGAATAAACGTTAATTCTTTTACAAATGTTTGCGGTTATTGGTTGTACCTTTAATAAATAACAAAAGCGTTATTTCCGTTAATTTAGTTAAGTTATCACACTCTGCCGTCCCCTCGCCTGCACGGGGACGAGAGGGGCAGCGGAAGTTCCGTCCCCCCGCAGGCGAGGGGACGCAAGTATGTATGCAAGTACATGCAAGTGCATGCTTGCAAGTACACACTCACAAACGCATGCATGACCAAGTACACACTTTCAAACGCTTTGCTTGGCGCCATTTAACTCTCGGCCAGTAAAAGGCTCAGTGTGAAAACCCATGGTGTAACTTTTGTTCTAAAATTTTGCCTTGCTTTGGTTCCCAAAATCGCATCATACTAACGCCTCTACTACTTAAACCCTGTCGCCTTGCAGTTAAACGCCACGCAACCGAAACACTCAGTGGCAAAATGTCTTATCTGCTCGCTTCGCTATGTGTTTCAGATAAGGTCACATCGAATCATGCTGAACAAAGCTTCCTCGGGTGGTACGGAATTCCCGTTCTCGTCGATGCTGAAAGAGCAAGTCTGCAACGACACAGGGAAGAAGCCTTTCGAGTTCGCGGGTTGCAACACAAAAATTGGTCACGGGCATGAACTCAAAACCAATCATGGAACTCATACAGCAGAAAAGCGTTTCGAATGCACTGTTTGTAATAAGGAGTTCACTACAACGGGCCATCTTAAAATTCATCTCAGAACCCATACCGGGCAGAAGCCTTACGAGTGCGCAGTTTGCAATAGGAAGTTCAGCCAAAGAGGGAACCTCCAAAAACATCTAAAAATCCATACAGGGGAGAAGCCTTTCGAGTGCACGGTTTGCAATAGGAAGTTCAGTCAAAGAGGGAACCTCCAAAGCCATCTAAAAATCCATACAGGGGAGAAACCTTTCGAGTGCGTAGTATGCAAAAAGAAATTCGGCAGTGTAGTTGATGTCAGAAAACATGCTAGAACTCACACAGGAGAAACGCCTTTCAAGTGCATGGTTTGCAATAAGAAATTTAGTCAAATCAGTAATCTGCGATCTCACCAGAAAATCCATACAGGAGAAAAACCCTTCAAATGCACAATTTGCAATAAGGCATTTAAAGACAGTGGTTATCTGAAAACGCACTTTAGAACCCATACAAGGGAGAAGCCTTTTGAGTGCACAGTTTGTAACAAGACATTTGGTTATCAACATGCTCTCCAAATTCATCTCAGAATCCATACGGGAGAGAAGCCATTTGAGTGCTCAGTTTGCAATAAGAAGTTTAGCCAAAGTGGTATTCTTCAAACTCATCTTAGAACCCATTCAGGGCAGAAGCCCTTCGAGTGTGCAGTTTGCAACTCGAAGTTTAGTTCTAACAGTTACCTCCACGCTCATCTCAGAACCCATTCAGGAGAGAAGCCATTCGAGTGCGAAGTTTGCAATAAGAAGTTCAAAAGAAAAAGTGATCTCCAAACTCATCTTAGAACTCATACAGGGGAGAAGCGTTTCGAGTGTGCAGTTTGCAACAAGAAGTTTGGCACTGAAAATAGTGTTAAAATCCATGTTAGGACCCATACAGGAGAGAAGCCTTTCGAGTGCACAGTTTGCACGAAGAAGTTTAGTCGTAAACATGTTCTCATGATTCATTTAAGAACCCATTCAGGGGAAAAGCCCTATAAGTGCACAGTGTGCAATAAGAAATTCAATGATAGAGGCAATCTGTTCAAACATTTAAGAGCCCATTTGGGGCAGAAGTCTTTGGAGTTGGAGTGCGTAGTTTGCAAAAAGAAGTTTGGCACTGGACAGGGACTCAAATACCATGCTAGGACCCATACAGGGGACAAACCTTTCAAGTGCATGGTTTGCAATAAAAAGTTTTCGGCAGCAGGAAGTCTTAGAACTCATCTTAGAACACATACAGGAGAGAAGCCTTTCGGGTGCACACTTTGTTACAAGACGTTTTCTCAAGCAGGCAACCTCAGAACTCATCTCAGGATCCACGGGGGAAAAGCTTGTTAAGTGTGCAATTTGCAATAAGACTTTTAGCCAGAAGGTTGACCTTAAACGTCATCCCACAATTCATAGGGAGATGCCTTTGTATGATTCCATGTAAAGATATCTTCAGTCGAGCCGGCAGCTGTACTCATTTCCGAACCCACAGAGCATGACGCCAACTTTTTATTTATCTCTAGATGACCAGGCCTAGTGGTAGCATGTGGAAATATCGAATTATGAATGCAGACAAGTGACTCGAATAGTTTTTTGAAAGTTTTGGCATATTGTGAAGTTATGTTAGTTATCCACAGTTTCCCCTTGCTACTGTTGAATTTGACTTTTCGAGAGACGTGCATTAACACGGGAATCTTCAAATTTCTTACAGCTGAGAATGCCTATGTTTTAACCGATTTTGCGTTGATGCACTCGTTTCCCGAGCATGTTGATGGTCGAAACTACTTGGCACGACTAGATTTATATGACAGAAATAAAATTAATTCTCAACATTTTTCTTTCTTGTTGGTGCGTTAACTTATTCCTGGAGAGTCTATTTTTCCCGTGAAATCAATTCCACAAAACTTTAAAGAAAGATGTGTTAAGATGTACAAGTCTTGCACTCAGGCCTACACGATACACGTTCCTTACTCTGCCAGTCTAAGTGTGGACAAAGTCCAGGCTTCCCTCGTGGACCGCAATTGGGCCCACGCTTCCTTCGAGGGGGCCACCACCCCCGTAATCCTGCGTACAAGTTTGCTGGTAATCTCTGGTAATCCATGGCGTAATCACGTAATCCTTGACAAAATTCTGTCATTTTTCAACGTTTTTGAGTCATTTTCCAACGTTTTCGAGCTATTTTTCAACGTTTTCAAACCAATTTTCGAAAATTTTACGCGTAATCCCTGGTAAATATCCCGTAATCCCGTAATCTTGTGTACGCCTGAAATGAGAGTGGTGGCCCCCTCGGCTTCCTTGCTTGACTTGCGTGTAGACCACAGGTCGGCCCACGCTTCCTCGATTGACACGGACCAGTGAAGCTTGGACCAAGCTGATGCACGCAAGGATGCGTGGACCAAACATGGTCCACTCAAGGACGCATGGCGAGTTCCTCCCGCCACAAATTGTTTACTACGCACGCTGATAACGGGTCCCGCTATCAGCGTGCACGAAAAGTTCAATCTGCGTGCAGTAGAGCACCCCTGCTGCGTTGCGGTGATTCCTGGATACAGCCCAACGCTGTCACCAGCGGACCGCCTGAAGGGTAGGCAACCCATGGTACCCCGGACCACGACGGGCCACAGCCTTGCTGGGCGTGAACAGCGCTACCGCATCGCAAGACACCTCACATAACGTCTGCATTTTACTCCCCAAAAATTAATGCCAATGTATTGCACTGTGTGCCAGTATAAGAAAAAAATAACAGGAAAAGTAGCGATAAACATCGGCAACTTTGGCCCGTCCCGTACATTAACAAGGTAGGTTTACGCCAGACCGCGTCTTGTCGTAACAGGCTTCGCGATGTCTCGCTGCCTGTTTCTCCAATCCGCGCCTGGCGTAAGTACCTACCTTGGCCTGCGGCGCTAGCCTGCCTGCGGCAGGCAATGGCTTGTCCATTGTTGGTTATTTTTTAACTTGTTGAATGCTGGGGGGCTCCGCCCCCCAGACCCCCCTACATTATAAATAGAGTTGTTTTATCTTCAGATAACACGATCTTGACCCTTGTCACTTTTTAACTTGTCGAGGCTGGGGGGCTCCGCCCCCCAGACCCCCCTTTCTCCAAGACAGAAGTGATCTATCTGCGGAAAACTCGATTTTTCGCCGTTTTCTAGGTGTTTTTTGGCTATAAAAACTGAACCAGAGCTAGGGTAGTGAAATTTCGCGTGTGCCGAGCCAAGGACATACCCAAGGAGTGTGCAAAATCTCACCGAGATCGGCCGAGCCGTTCAGGAGGAGTAGTGCGGACACACAGACACGCAGACAGACAGACAGAAAAAACTTTTCAACCCCACTGGAGTAACAGGCTTCGCTATCGCTCAGCCAACAAATGTGTTAATTTCGCCTTTGTTTAACCCTGACGGGTTTGAACCTGAGTCTGGGGTCGAAATAGATGTTATTTTCGTCATCAGCGCCCTCAAAAACATCAGAAACAATGCAAAAACTCGGATAAAAAGAATGTTCATAATATACCCCACTGGGATTTGAACCCGGATCCAAACTTCTCCGATTCGCTTGAAACTGGCACCGTTGGTTTTGTTTCGTCGCCCCGATTCCAAAAATACTACTACATGCCCTGCCAGCTGTATCCGTTGCCGAAATCCTCCTCGACCCCATGTAGACCATGATGCACCTGCAGCAGCGCCCCCGGGGCTCGGATCGGATTTGCTGCCACCGGGCGGTTCTTAGGGTCACCCAAGGAGGCTGCATGCCAAATTTGGTCAAGATCGGACCACGGGAAGTCCTCGGACGAACGAACGAACGGACGAACGAACGGACGCACAGCAGGGATCATACTACAGTCTTCATCGGCAAAGAGTCGACCGGCAAAGAGTCGACTTTGTGCGACGGTCCCCGCTTATGCGGCGGGGGCGAGCTCGGGCCACAATGGTTTTATGGCCCTCCCGAGCTCGGAGCACTACCGGATCTTTTATCTACCAACATGTGCTGTTCGGTTTTCGTGTCGGCAAAGAGTCGAAGTCCGGTCCCGATCCGTCGACTCTTTGCCGATGAAGACTGTATATGCCCGTCCCTCCGTCATTTTTTTTACAAAAAATAAACGGGACGGGCCAAAAATGGACGTGAAAGCATTGTTGGGGACATTAAATTAATATTCACATCTATTTTTCTGTTGTATTTATTAACCAGAGGCCTTATTTGAATGATTGGTTTGAATTGAGCGCATGAATTATTTCAACCATTTTGAATTTCCCGCCATTTTTATTCCTAGTTAGGAGACATTCGTTATGATGTTTTCGTGTTTTATATTCACGCTTCATGGAGCGTTCTCATTTAGCGTAGAAAGTTTTTGTTTTGTTGTGATGATTTTCTTTTATTTTGAAGTCTTTTGATAATGTAAACGGCAAGTTTCACATTTTTTGAACACACTTATTAACTTTGCAGTAGAATCTATGCACGAAACTGCGCATGCGTTTCAAAATACGCGAATTTGTGCGCTAATACGTACGAAAATGTGCTTTATTCCGCATGAAATTCGTGCGTTTTAAATCGCATGCATCGTGCTTATGCTCGCAGAGGTAAAATCCGAGCGCTGCTTCGACTTGCGATCACTTCGGTTTGTGTACCGATGTCTGGCAAGAATGTAGTCAAACAGTCAGGAACCAGATGAACGCCACATAACGGCCGTCACCGTGAAAGACCTGAACCCTGATTGGTCGCAAGAGTACGTGTGGACGAAGTTCACAGCAGTGGCCGCTAGGTGGCGCGCGCAGCTGGTTCCTGCATTTTGATTACTCATGTTCTTCACTCCGTTCTGTAGCCGGTCGTTTGGTTCGGCCGCTTGCCGGCCCGAGCGTCGCGCATCGCGTCGCCACACTGTTGCCACGCCACCTCCTGGCAAGGCGAGTGGTCGGATCGGGGAGACCCGAACGCAACGCGCGCGGTCTCCCAGCAAGCATTCCGACACGGACGCCGACCACATGAGTGGGAGTCCAGCAGCCTTAGTGCCAGTTGGCCGCACGAGACACGACGCGCAGTACGGGCGCGCTGGAAGAAAGCACAGAAGCCGACCTGCGATGAAACGCGCTGCTGCGGACGCATAGCGAGCACAGCACACATAGTGGGTATACACACTAAATTCCTTTAGACTTTTTGTCCCTCACTATGACCGTATTCGTAAATTCGAAAGTTAAGTGCAAATTTGCGCATAAGGTAGGAACAGTTTTATGAACATCTAAGTAGAAAATGGATGTCCGAGTCCCATAGAGAGTCCCAGTGCGAGAGAGATGCAAGATGTGCTCGCTCGTCGAGCGTCGATCACACCGGTCCACCGGCCGGTGGCGGCAAGAATAAAGGGCAAGGACAGCGTTTCTCAACCGTTTTCGGTTCGCGACCCCAAATTTGTAGCGAAAAATTTCCGCGACCCCCAGGAAAAATTTCGTGACCCCACGTGACCCCTCCTTTAGCATGCCTTTGATACAAAGTGCGATAATCCACCTTAGTTTCGAAGCAGTATTGCAGCAAAAATGATCAAAACGGTCACAAATGTCTTTGAAAAATCGTGTTTTGGGCCGACTTTAGGCATCCACTGCGTCTGATCCGAGGCGGTACTTCGTCCTCCCTCAACGGGCAGTTGGTCTTTAGACCTTTCTTTAGCATGCCTTTGTTACGGAGTGCGATTATCTGCCTTAATTTGGGAGCAGTATTGCCGCAATATTGATCAAAACGGTCACAATTGTCTGTGAAAAATCGTGTTTTGGGCTGACTTTAAGCAGCAACTGCGTCTGATCTAAGGCGGTATTTCATCCTCCCTCAACGGGAAATTGGTCTTTGGACCTTCCTTTAGCATGCCTTTGTTACGGAGTGCGATTATCTGCCTTAGTTTGGGAGCAGTATTGCCGCAAAGTTGATCAAAACGGTCACAAATGTCTGAAAAATCGTGTATTGATCAACTTTGCGGCAATACTGCTCCCAAACTAAGGCAGATAATCGCACTCCGTAACAAAGGCATGCTAAAGGAAGGTCCAAAGACCAATTTCCCGTTGAGGGAGGATGAAATACCGCCTTAGATCAGACGCAGTTGCTGCTTAAAGTCAGCCCAAAACACGATTTTTCACAGACAATTGTGACCGTTTTGATCAATATTGCGGCAATACTGCTCCCAAATTAAGGCAGATAATCGCACTCCGTAACAAAGGCATGCTAAAGAAAGGTCTAAAGACCAACTGCCCGTTGAGGGAGGACGAAGTACCGCCTCGGATCAGACGCAGTGGATGCCTAAAGTCGGCCCAAAACACGATTTTTCAAAGACATTTGTGACCGTTTTGATCAACTTAAAAGTTGTTCCCGCCAGTGCTCGCCAGCACCTTTGGCCCAAAAATGGTATTGCAATTACGTGTATTACGCGTAATACACAGTTTTTGTGTACAGGGTATTACACGAGTGTTTACCCCCTCGCAGCACACGGCAAAAGTACCGCCTGGGATTCCCAGGCGCATCATGGGGAAAAGGGCCTATTTTCCAGGCACCGCCTGGGAATCCCAGGCGGTGCTTTTGCCGTGCAAGGTCTAAAAAACGCTAACGCTAACGCTAACGTGGAAGCAGATGACATTCTAATGAAAATGTTTATTTTAATGTATGCTTGTTTATCACTTCATTCACCAAAATTGACAACTTTCGACTCCTTTCTCCCGATACAGCTGCCGGGCCCTTTCACGTTTACGCTCTCGTTGTGCTTCCTGGGGGCCATAGCTTAGGCCAATAATTGCCGCTTCGCCTGCTTCTTCCCACATATCTTAGCTGTTACACTTCACACGTGCAACGCGCTCCTTCAGGCCAGCCGGCGACACTGTTGTTGTTTTGCGGTGCGGGGCCCCCGCTCCCCTCGCCTCCAGCGGCATGCGGCGTCGCCGGCGGCGGGGCCACCAGGCGAGTGGGGAGTGGAGGCTCGTGGCGGGCACTATCTGCAGGGCCGAACTCTTTACCAAATTTAATCTTTGTCCAGCCCTAAAGGGTAAAAACTGGGGGCTTTTATTAAAGCTAGAGACATATACTATCAAATGGATAGGTTATCGGAAAACATCAGGGCAGGAAATATTTGCATTCTCCTTGCAAAGTCGTCAGATACCCTTTCTGACCATGGTCGGTTAGTCGACGTCACCGCCTGCTAACGGCCTGAGGACGTCCAACTTTGTAAGGAGAATGCAAATATTTCCTGCCCTGATGTTTTCCAATAACCTTTCCATTTGATAGTATATGCCTCTAGCTTTAATAAAAGCCCCCATTTTTTACCCTTTAGAGCTTAACAAAGATAAAAAATGGTATACTATGTGGCCCTGCAGTTGGGGCCCGCCGCGGATCTTCGCCAGACACTGCCGTCGACCCCCGCCGCTGCTTCCTTTTTTGTCATTTCCACGTTTAAAACCGTCTAATCCAGGATAAAAGGTGTTCGGTTTACTCAAAAATGTCTTACTGAGTCCGCCTCAATATATATTTTTGCTTACATATCATTTAATTCTGAGTATTTTCGTTTCTTCAAACTACTACCGACCATGGTCAGAACGCCAGACCCAGCGTCCGTTCCCGAGCCGAAGGCATTTCTAGTTCTCCTGGGGCCACGCTGCATCCTACATCGGTATCGGCCGAGCGAAGCCGACCTAGCTCCGAAGGCGATACGAGCTGAGCAGGCCACGCTTCGGCCCTGCTTGAGAGCCGAGCCGAGCCGGCCGAGCCTTGCCTAGGCCTGCTACGCAGCACGCCGCGCCACTGCGCCCGGGGGAGGGGGGAGGGGGGGCAGGCCCCATGCCCTTTTCCGGCCCAGGCCGGCTTCACGCACGCACAGACGCACAGACGCACGCATGGTCCCGCCCCGCCTCAAGACTATCTCGAGAGTAAAAGCAAGCTGACACCTTCATTACAATTGTATAGCTTGCTTTAGCTTTAGCAACGGTGTCATCTGCTAAAAAAGGCGACCTGAGAAAACAGGGGTCACGTCTCCCTCTCCGCAGGTCGCCGGGTGCGTGTGGCGTGTCCAGGAACTACGGTGCGCTAGCCCCTGTGGCGTGAGTTTCTCGAATTCAGTCCTCTCCTTAGACTTAAAATGTTGAAATTATCGTTCAACTTGGGCATGTATAATTAAATTGATGATCAATCAGTGAGTGGTAGAAAAACTTAGACACAACACACAAGCAGGGAGTGACACTTTTCATTCATCCGCATATGTGCTGCAATTACTTCCTGTAGGGCAGTAGGGCAAGTAGTGCGTGGGCGTGCGCAAGGATATCCGTAATGGTCTGTCAAGTTAAGAACGCGCGTCGGACGCGCGTACGCGCGTACGCGCGTCTGGCTGCGAGTGGAGGACTTTTGATCCATGCATTGCATTAAAGTTGTTCAACCCGTACCTTTTTGGAAACGGGAGATGCCACGGATTCTCGTATTACAAATAAAAGCGTGCATAGACGAATTACAAGGTTTCAAGTGACACAGGAACGGTCACACATCTCGGGCTGCATCCGGATAAATTGATTGTCGGGCTCCCATCCCTATCCCTTCCACTCGTTTGCAAATCAAAACTAGGAAATTCAGGAAATTGTTAATGACATGGATGGATTGGAGCATTTTGATGACGCGACAGTAGGTAAGGTTATGGTGGTATTATTTGCTCGCTAATGGGTTGTACACATATAATCTATTTCCCATCTAACGTACTTTGGAACATCTTGTCACACACAGGGTTCAATCAATGGAAGACAAAAAGGAAAGTAGAATGGAAACCGTCAACAATTCACCAAAATACTGATTTTTTAACTAAACAGCTAGTTGTTATGAAGGGAACTTCCCAGACTCAGGCGACCAGCTGCTCAGAATTGTTGCGACCGTTCCTGTGTCACTTGAAACCTTGTAATTCGTCTATGCACGCTTTTATTTGCATTACGAGAATCCGTGGCATCTCCCGTTTCCAAAAAGGTACGGGTTGAACAACTTAAATGCAATGCATGGATCAAAAGTCCTCCAGGGTCGCTAGCCGCAGCCGAACGCGCGTACGCGCGTACGCGCGTCTGACGCGCGTCCTTAACTTGACAGACCATAACAGACAGTTGAAAGAAATGACAACATGGCGGGAATATTCAAATATGTCAGAAGGATTATGCACACTAAACATGCAAAATATTTACAACACAAAAATGTGCTTTTTCATGTGACATCGTAACCCGTAAATCGATTATATGACCATTTTGACTCGTATCAGCCCCGTTGAGTGTGTACTCGGAGCACGCAGAGCAATGAGCTCTTACTTTTCAGTGCTGCTCGAGTAATTCATACTATGAAAACTGTTTTCATAGCATGACATCTCAGCGTGGGAAGGGAGAAATATCTTAGAATCGCTGCAACACTGTAAATCCAAAAGCAATACTTTTAGTACCTTTTTTGGCGATACAATTGAGAATCGCCAATAAACGGCCTTACGGAAAAGGATTGCCTTCAAAACAGCGATACACAAATGTGATACTTTGAAGTATCGCCACGATTTGGCAATAAACGCCAAATTTTGGCGATACTTCTGTGTATCGCCGTTCTGAAGGCAATACTTTTCCGTAAGGCCGTTTATTGGCGATACTCAACTGTATCGCCAAAAAATGTACTCAAGTATCGCCTTTGCATTTGCAGTGAACATCGAGTACGCACATCACTGTGATCGATCACAGTGATGTGCGCACTCTATGTGGCCGATTCTAATCCTCAAGTCGAAAGTTAAATCACGATGGCCCATTGCAGTCCATGCGAAACTGGCACCAACATGCGACCACGTTGCAGCGCCATGCCATCGAATCGCTCCTAGGCACCTTACCCTGCTATATGCGTCGCAATGTGTTTCCTGTTTCAGGTAGCATCACTAACCGCCTTCGGACGCCGAAACTGGAAGTGCACGTCTCGGTGAATGCCGGGGAAAAGTCTCACGAGTGCTCAGTTTGCGAGAGGAAGTTGAGCCGAAAAGGGAAGCCTGGACACTCATCCTAAAATCCACACTGGGGATCCTCCCCAGTTTTCTCCCCTTTTCAGTGCTCAGTTTGCAATAAGATGTTCAGAAAAAGAAGTGACCTGGACCCTCATCTTAGAACCCATACCGGGGAGAATCATTTTGAGTGCACGGTTTGCAATAAGAAGTTTACTAGTAAACAGTACCTCGGAATCCATCAAAGAATCCATACAGGGGAGAAGCCAGTCAAGTGCCCAGTTTGCAATAGGAACTTCCGTCAACGAGGTCATCTCACGACGCATCTTAGAACCCATACAGGGGAAAAGCCTTTCGAGTGCACAGTATGTAAAAAGAAGTTTAATGACCGACGAGATCTCAGTTCCCACTTTAGAATCCATACAGGAGAGAAGCCTTTCGAGTGCTCACTTTGTTTTAAGAAGTTTAATCAACAAAGTAATCTCAGAACTCATCTAAGAACACACACAGGGGAGAAGCCTTTCCAGTGTACTGTTTGCAGTAAGAAGTATGCCGAATCAGGTGCACTTCGAGTTCATCTTAGAACCCATACAGGAGAGAAACCTTATAAGTGCACACTTTGCAACAAAATGTACAGGTCAGGAAATAGCTTGAAATTTCATCTTAGAACCCACTCGAAGGAGAAGCCTTTCGAGTGCAATGTTTGCAACAAGAAGCTCTGTTCAGGGCAAAGTCTTCAAATCCATCTTCGAATGCATACAGGAGAGAAGCCTTTTGAGTGCCTAGTTTGCAACAAGAAGTTTAGTTATGCGGAAAGTCTTCGAAGTCATGTTGAAACCCATACCGGGGAGAAGCCTTATGAGTGCACAGTTTGCAATCAGAACTTCAGTACCCGAAGTGTTCTCAGGGCTCATCTGAGAACCCACACGGGCGAGAAGCCTTTCGAGTGCACAGTTTGCAACAAGAAGTTCAGCCGCAGAGACGGTCTCAAAGGTCATGTTAGAAGAACCCACATGGGCGAGAAGCCTTTCGAGTGCTCAGTCTGCAAGAAGACATTTGGCGAAGCAGGCAAACTCAAAAAGCATCAAAGAACCCACACAGGAGAAAAGCCATTCCAGTGCACAGTTTGCGATAGAACGTTTTCGGAAGCAGGAAGTCTTAGAATTCATCTTCGAACCCATACAGCGGAGAGGCCTTTTGAGTGCACAATTTGCAATAAGAATTTCAAAAGCAAAAATCCTCTTGTAAAGCATCTGGGAGTCCATACAGGGGAGAAGCCCTTCAAATGCTCAGTTTGTCAGAAGATGTTTCGATTAAAAAGTTACATGAACGCTCACCTTAGAACCCACACAGGGGAGAAGCCTTTCGAGTGCGAAGTTTGCAACGAGAAGTTTTGTAGTAAACAGGCGGTCACTCTCCATCTTAGAAGGCATACAGGAGAGACGCCTTTCCAGTGCACAATTTGCAGTAAGAAGTTCAGCCGAAGAGGTTACCTCCGAACTCATCTCGTAGTCCATACAGGAGAGAAGGCGTTCGAGTGCAGTGTTTGCAACAAGAAGTATGGTCTCAAGCAAACTCTCAAACTGCATCTTCGAACCCACACAGGGGAGAAGCCTTACGTGTGCACAGTTTGCAGGAAGAGGTTTATTCGATCAGGCTATCTAAGAACGCATCTCCAAACCCATTTAACCTGAAACCAAAACTATATTGGGTTCCTGATGAGATGGTCACGCCATGGGAAGGTGCGAAGAAAATCTGAATATGCAAACAAGTGACTCCAGTTTCTTAACATAAGTTCCGCTGCGCATAGAGGTAAAAGAGCAGGATATGCTCCTCCATTTTTCCGTAGATGAGTGCAATATTTGTATTTTCAAGTATAAGCACAGAGTATTCGTCATGTACATTTTGGTATTATTCAACTGAACTTTCGATGAAGGGTTGTGCTGGAGTTCATGAATCCTGAATTTCTGAAATTGAAGATGGACTATGTAATCGATTTTCCATTTACTTACACGTTGCTTAAGAATTTTGATGATTGTCACCTCTAGAATGATTGCAGAGAAATAAAATTTCGTATTTACAACAATTTTTTTGGTTGGTGTGTTCAATCATTACTCAAGATCCTACTTTTCAGATTCAGAAAGAGGTGGTAAGGCCTCTAAATTCTGTTACTTGCCGACAAAGTTAACAAATGTCCGAATCTTCCAAAATGGGCAGGTTTTGAGCGGCCACAGCGTCCAAACCGAGGTGCATAATCTTGACCCTCTGCAGGATATGGATCTGATGGTGTCATGCTTCCAAGACACAGATAACAGAAGTTGACTTCCAATGACGCTGCAAAGTTCGCTAAAGATCCAACAAATGGCATTACGCCATGAGTTCCAGAAAGAAGAAGTAACGCTTGTTCCAGGAACGTGGCATCACGTTCAAATGAATATGAGAAAATGTCACGTTCCTTTGAACATTGTAACATTCGTTTTAATGTGAACGAACTAATTTATGGCTGATTTACACCCAATAGAGTGGGACACAATGCTCAAACGAACGTGACCTTTTGTCACATTCGTTTGAGCGTGACGTCACGTTTCTGGAATGAGAGTGAAGGTCTTCACAGTCTCTTACGATACATGTTCTTTAATAGACTGAAAGGGCTAAAATGGCCAAAATAATGTACATCCTTCGTATATGAAGGATGTAACCAAGTGTTTATTCACTCTGAAAACCTGAAATACTATTTTAGGCCTCACAAAGAAAAGTAGCTTGTCATACCAAAGTACTTGGAGCATAGAGAAGCTTTCAAAGAAAATTTCGTAATTTACGAACTATTCTCCGTATAACGAACTAAACAACCTTACATGTGCTCAAAATACTTCGTAGGGTAAAGTGCCGAACATGGATCGGGGTACCAAAACATGGATCATTTCTGTTTGGGGGTCTATAACTAAAGACCAGGTGACCAGATTCAAATTTCTGTCTTTCCTTGCTTAGACTGGCCCTTTGACTGTTCGATGTGAAGCTGACAAGTTTGTAACTGCGTCTCTCTACTCTTCAGGGTTGCGTTTAGAAAGACACCTAAAACAGGCCCCCGAAAATCGATGGAAAAATGACGTTCAAAAAGGTGATTTTGGCACCCCTGATTCTGGGCCAAGCAACCACCGCAGTCACCTCAAAATTTTTCATCGTGCACTTTGGACAGACTACTTTGATATTTTGGGACTACTGAATGCATACCTTGCTTTGTGTCCGTACGCTGCACTATGATCTAGAATCTCGGAATCGCGGAAAAAATTCCTACGGCCTTGAAATTTTCCTCTAGTAGTTATTTTGGGTCGGGGAATCCGAATCTGACATTAGTTTTGACCTATGGTGACGTGCCTCTGAAAAAAACTGCAAAAAAAGCTGAAAAAGACTAAAAATTGAGAAAATATTGCTGTATAAGACAATTGAAGTCGGGTAAAGAGCTGCTGGCACTAGTATGGAGGTCTGGGACCTTTACTTCGTAAAAAGAAGAAGGGGTGTGCAAGATATAACACAACGATGAAGCGGCTTTACTCTGCCATTCAAATTTTTTTTTATTAAATATTTGAATTTACCACACGATTTACCACAACCAGTTGAATTTCATTCAATGTACCGTATTTACACGCATATAACCCGCACTTTTTTACCTCGTTTTGACACCTCCAAAACCCGCTGCGGGTTATATGCGTGTGCGGGTTATATGAGTGCACAAAGGTGAAAAATCGTATTTAAGCGCTCTAACTACCGGGGAGTGGAGCGGGGAGGGTGGGGCGAGGTAGAGTGTGCGAAGCTAGCGCTAGAGTTGTGAACTACGGTCATTTGGCGGCTGCAATAATGACAACGAATACAATTTCCAATAAAATGTAATACTGGCAATAGTCGTAGAAACCACTGAATAATGGGCAGAAATATAAAAATACGACGGTGCTGCCCTCTGTCGGTTCGTGGCGGCCCGCGCCGCCAGTTCAAACAGGGGGTAGCCGTCATCCTTGTACCCTGTCGCGGGTGCGGGTTATATTCGTCAACAAACGATTTTTCACCTTTTTGGACACTCTAAAACCCGCTGCGGGTTATATGCGTGTGCGGGTTATATGCGTGTAAATACGGTATAAAACGAAACAAAATGTACAGAAAAAATCCGAAAAAATGTCTTAAACAAAATGTAAAACACAAAGCGACAAAAACACATTTTGTCTTGTCACTTTAAAAATGTAATTTAACTAGTTTCAGAACGCGAAAGTTATACAAAAAGGCACATTCCTTAATTTACTTTTGGAATAAAACTGAGCTCTTTCCATTTCTTCTAAACTGCTTTTCTGAGAGTGAGAATTGTGCCGCATTTTCCTTGATACCTCGCATCATGTTCATACATCACTGCGAAAAAGTTGCAACCAGCCTCCATTTGCTCCCTGCAGACTCACTTCTGATGTCCCTGGGTTCATTTTCGGTTTCACGTTTCTCAATCTCGGCATTTTTCTGCCTATTTTCTGAGCTTTTAAGCCCACTTCCGGTGATTTTGAGTTCACTTCCGGTATGAACTAAGAGTAAATATATGTCCTTGATAGCACTTTTGAAGCCCGTTCGTTCCATATATGTATGTGTCCATGAGTCCTAAAGCAGGCACGGACGGAATTTTGTCTTTAAAAAGCTTAAAAAAACCATGTTTGAGGGCTGTAAAATCGCGGGGTCGCAGGTGGTCGCAGCATTTGCCGATGGATTATCAAACTATGGTGACCGGACTACTGAAAACTGACCACCAGAACCCAGCCAAACCCAGCCATTTTGATCCCGGCTCTCGGAAAAATTCGAATTTTAACAATTTTGCCAAATTGTGTAAAGAAGTTTTCTGGCTTTGCCATTAATCCGAGAATGACACATAAAAAAACACCGTAAAGTGCAAAAAAAAGCCTGAAAAAAGACCTTTAAAATGGTATACAGGGTTTGTGGGTTCGAACCCGCCTTCCCCGGGAAATCGAGGACGGACGGAACCTCAACGAAGAACGTCAACAAACGTCCAGTCAATTTGACAAATTTGTCAACTTTGGGAGCCTCCCATTAGTCGGAGGCGACCGACCGAGGTGTTTCTTGACTTGATTCTTGTCAGATGGACATTCAAGGATAGTTTAAGCCACACGGGAGCCAAATCAGAGCACTTTCGTTTTTCTGAATTTTTTCCGCGTTTTCGGGATTCTAGATCATAGTGCGCTGGTGGGGTGATCCATGATTGGACCACCCTAACCTAACCTTAGCAAAATTAGCCATATTTTCTTGTCCTCACAACTTCCAAAGTAATCGAGTTAGAGGTACCATTTTTGGTAGCCATATGACCAGTAAGGTAAACATCAATATTAGATTCAAAAATAGTAGTCAACCCATACTTAATTTCGATCAAGAGAAGATTATTTAAAAAGTGATCCATGTTTGTTAACCTTACCCTAAGTTAATTTTTAAGCGTGTCTACATTTCGTCGTGCCTACATTTCGTCTCCAATCACCACCGGTGTCAAAATGGGGCTTAAGGTAATATTTAAACTTAGTTTTGATAAAAGTTGCTTTTTTAGCTGTTAGTTTGAGTGCCTGGCACACGACTTGCAAAGATTTTCCCTGTCCTCCATCTTCAAAATAACCTCATTTCCACTGATGGTATATGTTGTGATCCGGGCTAGTATCGCAAGGGGACAAGCACCACTGGGTTTTTTCCAAAATGATTGAGTTTTTCGATCACGATGAGCGTGAAGCTTAAACCCGCTTAAAAAATTTATTTCTGTGGTACGGACACTGTACAAGAGTCGCGCAAGGAAACACGGTAAAAAGTACGCACGGGACAAGTGTCTCCCGGGCATGCACGGATCCAGTGGGGGGGGGGGGGGCGTCCCTGGATCCTTCCTTGCCCCCGGGAATTTACCTATATTCCTGAGAATCCTAGGAGATTTTTCTGACATTGACCGATGTTCCTGGGAATCCCAGGAGATGTTTCCACCGTGCGGAACGCCCGTACTTGTTCTGTGTGAACTCATGAATCGGTCGAAAGTAAGTACGAAGGTTCCATTTTCGGCAAATACGGAACGGTCCAGACAGTCTCACAGTAAATGTCTTACGGTGAAAGGCTGCACCAACATAATATGGTGGAGATTTTCTCCATAATACCAACGAAATTCGTCAAAATCTCTATAAGGTACAGTGAATTCTCAATGGTATGTTACGAAGTCAGCTGCACCACCATAATATGGAACATTTTCACCATAATATGGAGAATCTTCACTGTAGAACATTTAGAGTGCTTAACCACACTGAGAGTGTACTGGGCGATGACCAGAAGGGTCTATTTCAGGGGTCTCAGACTGGCGGCAAACCCGGGGCCGGACTAGGAAAAAGAGAGAGATAGAAGATCGGAGCGCGTCGCGTCGGCTAGGGAGGTGTGAAGCTCGAGCCGGCCGGCCAGCGGCAGTCCGCAGCCGGCTGAGCGGACTCCCCGACACGGAACACTGTCTTTCCTTGTCCCTCACCCATATGACTGTGTGAGTGCGAGAGAGATAGACACACTGCCTGTCGGTTGACACGCTTGACAGCAGCGAGACGAGCGGCGACGAGCCAGCCACCGACGCCGGCCCAGGGCGTCGCTCGGCGAACGCCGAACATCGTTCGGCACCGGCCCACCCGGGGCCGGGCACCGAGCAGCCGGGGCCGGATCCGGCCCGCGGGCCGCCACTCTGAGACCCCTGGTCTATTTCGATCTCATTTGTTTGAATACAGATTTTAGCCATCAGTCACTCGGCCTTTCTCCGTGTCGTCTGCTAGCGCCAGCTGGGAGGCAGCCCCAGCCAGCGAAGCGCTGACAGACGCAACGCGAATGACGGCACACGGTGCAACACCGTTGCTAGCCAGGGGTACAGGCCCCCTTTCATTTTCTCACTTTTGTTTCTTTGTCTTACCCGGACGGGAAGTGCGAAAAAAGGTGGAACATATAGCAGTCAATGCTCTTCAGTCGTATTTTTAAACATGTCCTCCAGAATCTCGTGAGGACTTGGAACTTGGAAAAGGGAAACACAAACCCAGTTCAGTTTTAGACGTTTTCCATTTTCATTTGAATGCTTTAACATAAGTCTATGGCTAGTAACAAAACGTGTCCGCGGAAATTTTAAGTGAATAGCTCAGTATTTTACAAACTTGTCCACGACTAAAACGACTAAATAAATAAAAATATTAATTTAACAAAGCGCACTGATCTGACTCCCTAAGCATGACATATCGTTAGGACATCTTTACCACTTGAAAGCAGTCAGCTGAAAACGGACAGAAACTGTTGCAGTGCACAGCTAGCTGTAGAGAATAAATACGACAAATTGGATAAAGTAAACCTTAACTAAAATTAAAATGAGTACAGTCCTCCGCACCCTCCACCCACTTTTGTCGGCCTCTTGCTCCACTTGAAAGCCTTCAGACTGAAAGTGCCTCTGGGACGGTTGTACCGCACGGACCTTTGAAATAAAACGACCTGCAACATGTAAAAAAGTACAGGGTCAGTTGCTAACCGAGTCCACTCATTATCTTCTAGTCCACCGCTACGACTAGGCCAAGGACGGCTCACTACGCAAGCTGACATAGGTAACACTATGAACTTTAACGCATGGAAAGTACAGTCCACGCGTGCTGCACCACCCCCACCGAGGCTCTCTACCCCCACCGCGTGGCGCCGCAGTCCTGGATGGTGCCATCACGCTGTGGCCAGCGGACCGCCGGAAGGGTAGGCAACCCATCGTACTCCGGACCACGACGGGCCACGGCCACGCCGGGCGCGGACGGCACTGAAAAACCAAACGTCGTCTACCGCATCAACTGATGCGGTCAAATGAGTGCCATGTTGGCCGCATCAGTTGGTACGTTTAGTGTGGCCATTGAATGGAAAGACCACACCAATACTGATGCGGCCAAAATGGCGCTCATCTGACCGCTCCAGTGGTGCAGTCTGGGGGGCTACGTTTTGTTTTTCAGTGAGGGCCAACGCAAACGGCCTCACACCGAACCTCGGCCGCTTTCAGAATGATAGCCTTAGGTGGCTCGCGAACGGTTTGATAAACGTACCATCTGATAAACAACGGTCATACCGGACACACTCTGATTCCTTTATTCAGTATTCAGCCACACCTTGCGCTAATTGCGATTTGAGAACAATACTGCCAGGTCAGGTCACCAGTATCAAATGCAGGTTTAAAAAGTACCTCCCCCTCCAAAAAAAAAAACATACAAGTAGTCAAATCACGTATTATGGTATGCATGTTTAGTAGGATTCTGTTGAGACTAGCATCATTATTGTCAGATGAAACACAAATTGTTCTCCAAACCAAGCGGATAATCAGCCCCAAAAACAGGCAAAATTCACAGAATTATTGGTACTGCCCTATTATATTGCAAATATTTACAAATAGAGAAGAAAGTAAACCGAATTTTAAACGTGCGCCTACTCCTTCGATGCCAACTACATCCAATATGTACCTAAAATTAGAAACGTTTCTTTGATCAAACAGGTACTTACAGCAAATCGTGAACAGTGGGTGATTCTTCTATGTTGAACTCCGCCACAGGAATCCCTCGTGCAGCAGCAGAAGGAGCAAATGCAGCAGCTGGGTAAACAACCGATGATGTGCCAATCACCAAGCACAAATCACAGGCTGAAAGGAGGCGTTCTGGAAAATATCGTTAAGAAAACCAAATGAGTCATAAAGCCTGCGTGAACTTTCTAAGAACGCCGAAAGTAGAGAGGTATTTCACTTCACCTAAATGCACAACCATGGGTAAATCTGGGTTGAGTTACATAAATTATTTTTTTATCAAGATTTACAAAAAAAAAAAAAATAGTTGCCTGAACTATATTAACCCTTGAAGAAATACCTCAAAGTGAGCAGCCTTTTCTGTCTACTTTCTAATACATGTTTCAACGATTAAAATAAAAAGCTGTAAGGGCCATGACAAATTATACGATATTCTTTAAAAAGAAAACCGATTCCCTTCTTCACATATTAAACCCGAATCTTTCAAAAGGTTAAATTTATTCTTTTTCTGCTGTATATACCAGCTTTTATTTATTTATTTTCCAAACTGTTCTGACGACTCTAAGGCATAAGCCTCACAAAATGCATTTGGAGCAACTATGTTTTTAAACATCCGTATGTCCTAATTCATAGTATTGTGCATTGTTAGCAAGTTAAATTGTTGGTCTTAATGGAAGGACGCATAAATACACAACAATTTATATCATGGTTATTGGACATTATGAGAGCTAAAGTAAAGATTGCATTACTGGAGAACACCACAGGAAATCATACCACTTCCATTTTACAAAAGACTGAAAATAAATTTAACCATCTACTCGACCGCTAGAGTTCTGTTGGTGATGATCATTCTTCATCATTCTAGGAACCATAAAAATAATCATGACACCAAGTTCAATCCAATCCAACTTCAAGGCGTAATGAGCTGGATTGGTACAGACTAATCTGTGGTCAACGTTAAACATACCAGCTTCAGCCAAGACTCCGCTGTCCAGATTTTCACCAAACCAGACCACATGTGGCCTGAGCAGACCATTGCAAGAACCAGACTGACATCTTGGAAGCTGCTCAGTGGGAATGGAAGAGGAACAACTGTTAACATCCGGCAACCTAAAAAGCATAAAACAGAAAAGAAAATGCTAAAATTGAATACATAACTTCAAATTCCATATTTGATGCAAATTATTGGCAATGCAAAGTTCTTACCCACGCCCCTCAAGAGCTGGACAGATGGGGCTGTCTCTATTCTCACGAACATCTTCACACTTCAGACAGCGAGTCTTCATGAGGGAACCATGCAGCTCCAATACGTTACTTGACCCAGCTTTCAAATGAAGCCCGTCAACATTTTGAGTAACAACATTAAATTGGCGTCCCTCAGCTGTGAGTCGACGTTCAGCTTCAGCTAAGGCAGTATGTGCCTGAAATAAGAAAAAAATAACTTAAGTCAGACTATAATTTGAAAACAAAAAAATTTTAAACCGTGAAGTAAATGGATCTAAACACCGCATTTGAACTCAGTAATCTTTAGTCATGAACATTTTACGGGCCATTTACCTTGTTAGGAGATGCTGCCATCACAACTTCACGGCGGTAATGGTAAAACTCCCAAACTAATGAAGGGTCTCTCTTGAAAGCTGTCGGCGTTGCTAAATCAGTTGCTTGATATTTCCTCCAAAAGCCTCCTGAACCTCGGAATGTAGGGATACCAGATTCAGCTGAGACTCCAGCACCCGTCAAGACTACAATATTTTTTGACTTTTTAAATACTTCATGGAATGCTTTTACATCAGACAAGCAAACACGCTTTGCCATGGTGACTACCTGCAACAGAGAGTGACATAGCAAAATTATTTTTCATCGTGCTTAATAGTATCAGAGCAAAAATAGAGAATTAAGATCATGGACACTGGAAATAAACAAAACAGAAGAGCGACACTCTGGACAGTCTCAAAGAATTGTTAGAGTGTCTACAGATTCTGAATGACTGGCTCAGTATTACAATCCTAGAATAAACAACAGTTTTGCATGAAACAGCACTCCCAGGCAGACTAAAACCTAATTACGACAGATTGTGTAAATACTCACTTTTTTCTGAAAGTTCCGACTTTTTAAAAATCTCCCATACTTCCTATACAGCAAGACAAGAAACGAGCATAACCCAAAAGAGCGCTGTAATCTTGGGAATAAGGAAGAGTGGATCTCGCACTCCGAAACTGTGTGTCCAGGGGTTTGTAAAAATTTTTCTGAAAAATTGCTGAATGAGGGGCAAGCAAGGGAAAGGGGAAATGAACATCAACGGGAAAAAGAGCAGGGCAGGGGGGGGGGAGGCACACAATGGCCAAACACGGTCAGTTTCAAAAAAAATTCTCTTTCGAAAGGGGGCAAAGGAAGTAAGCGGAAAGAATTGGGGAGATGCAAGATATTTGAATCAAGGGAAAAATAAGGCCAAAACATTAAACTGGGCAGAACAGAAGTACGAAAAATGGGCCAAATTATCAAACCCATCACCCCTACTGAAAGAAAAATAAGTAACAAAGAAGAAACCATATTCAACAACTGTTAAAATGTCGTCAACAACCAAACTTCACTAGAAAGTGAGCAAACCACACTGGGCTTTGATACTTTAATCAATTGCCGGAATGGGACGGGGGCGGCTGTCGAGGGGTTACCCACTCCGGGAATCGTGTGTACACTCAGTCCGGGGATCGATCGTAATTTTGCTCAAAATTTTATCGAAAATCTTTTAAGTTTCAATGGAGAGGGATATGTTATGGACACAAAACACTCAAAAGCTAAGAAAAATCTTCAAAAACCTCTCCTTTTATGCAACATTTGTTGAGGAATCGCGGGAATCCGGAATCGTGTGTACGCCCAAGTACCGAGTGGGTAACCCCTCGGCGGCTGTTCCGTTGATATCATCTGCCGAAAGGGCAAGGGGAAGTAGGGCCCCACGCCCCAGGATCAAGCGCAGACGCAGAGGGAAAGAGGGAGGGGGAGGGGGCAAAGGGACAGTTGACCCCTAGACAGCTGCCTGAAACGTACGCAAAAAGCAACACCTTTGCATCGGTAGGTGGGGAAAAAAGCTGCTCCACGCCTCCCCACCCCGTGAGGCAGCTTCTGGATCCGCCGCTGCGAGGAAAGGCCACGACCCGACGGCGGTCTCGGTGCGCAGAGGCGTGCCTAAAGGCGTGCCCGGCCTCCTCTAATCGCTCCGTGTTACCCTAGCATTAACGCCAGCCCCGCCAGCCCCGCCAGGCAGCGGGTTAGGTTTGTCTAGGCCTGGGGCTGCGCCACGCCCTGCCACCGTGCCGCGCCATGCCACGCTCTGACACCGTGCCATGCCCTGCTACCGTGCCACGCCGCACAGTGGGCCAGAAGACAGGTGGAGGCAGGCAAAACCCCGGACGCATTTTGAGCTCCAGGGTCGCTAAATGAGACTGTGACCCCGTGTGACCCCACCAATGGGTTGCTCTCCGAACGAGGAATCCATTGGTGGGGTCACACAATCGGTTCGAGCCATGTTTAGGGACTCTGGAGCTCAAAACGCGTCGGGGGTTTAGGCCGCCGGCGCGGGTCTTCTGGCCCACTGTGCGCCGTGCCGCCGTGCCTCGCCGTGCCGCGTCTCGCCGGGCTCCAACCTCACAATTTCGTGCTCCTCTGCTCGCAAGGACCTCACTCAAGGAGGCCGTGCTAATCCGCCGACGGCTCCTCGGCTTTGGATCAAACTGGAAGGTCGGAGGTTCAAACACCGGCGCCGTTCAATTTGGCGCCCACCTGAAACATGGTCAATGTTTTTGCACAAGAGTTACATCTTCAATAACGGAGCGACAAACAAAATGTCACCTTGCATCAGGCTAGGCGGCCCGGGGGGAGCAGGGGACGACGGGGAAGTCTTCTATTTACCCCGGTTTTACCTCGGCCCTTCCCAGCAACGCGCTGACGGCGCGGAGCATAAAGAGGACCACTTTTTCCAGCGTATGTTCCTCTGGGACGGCCATCCCTGGAGCTGCCGCGGCAGGCCACTCTCTTCATCTCCCAACTGCCTCGTCCTTTCCGTCCGCCTGTCTGTCCGTTTGTCCGTCCGACCGTTCACCAGCTACGCATATGCCTATCCGGCAAGCCCATTGCCTCCAGGGGCGGATCCAGAGGCGGCCAAAACGGGGGGGGAGGGCAAAATAGCACTTTTTGCCTTGTATAGGGGCAAAGCACTTTTGCTACCTTTCATGCATTCGTGCCTGGGCTTTTGGGAGGGAGGGGACAAAAACCCCACTGCCCCCCCCTCTGTCCATTGCAATGCCTATGGTAAGCTTACTTGCCACAAATTTGGCAAGTCGTTTTGAATGCCAAAAATTGGCAAGCTTGGCCCGGAAATACTCCTCAGCTTCCCAAAACTTGGCAAGTTTTTGAAGATTGCCGACCAAAGCTTGCCAAATTTTGGCATTCAAAACGGCTTGCCAAATTTGTGGCAACCAGTTTGCACTGGCACTTTGCAGTGTCTGCGCCTCATTGCCCCCGCTGCAAATATATTCGTAAGTTCACTCGAGATTCACCACACAATGCAGCTTCACCACAGCAAAGCCTTTGGTCGAAAGAAATTTAGAGTGCAATGAGTGCAGGTCTGTCGTCACGCCTGTGTACGTACCCCGGTCTGCCAGCTCGTCTGTCCGTCCCCAGGCTGGCTGCCTGCCCGTCTGTCCGTCCCCAGGCTGGCTGCCTGCCCGTCTGTCCGTCCCCAGGCTGCCTGCCAGCCCGTCTGTCCGTCCCCAGGCTGCCTGCCAGCCCGTCTGTCCGTCCCCAGGCTGCCTGCCTGCCCGTCTGTCCGTCCCCCGGCTGGCTGCCTGCCTGCCTGTCCGTCCCCAGGCTGCCTGCCAGCCCGTCTGTCCGTCCCCAGGCTGGCTGCCTGCCCGTCTGTCCGTCCCCAGGCTGGCTGCCTGCCCGTCTGTCCGTCCCCAGGCTGGCTGCCTGCCCGTCTGTCCGTCCCCAGGCTGCCTGCCTGCCCGTCTGTCCGTCCCCAGGCTGCCTGCCAGCCCGTCTGTCCGTCCCCAGGCTGCCTGCCTGCCCGTCTGTCCGTCCCCAGGCTGGCTGCCTGCCCGTCTGTCCGTCCCCAGGCTGCCTGCCTGCCCGTCTGTCCGCCTCGTTGAGCGCGACGTCCCTCACAAAGGGGTGATGGATCTTTCGATGGCTCTCCCTCACGGCATCACGAGGCCACGTTATCAGTCTTTTGTTTCGCCGCCGTTGGCTGCCCTGAGGGCTCATCCCGAGCGGCGCTCCGTCTCTCTCGCACTCATGGGGCGTCCCGTGGGGGTGCGAGAGAGACAGCGACGACGGCCCGTCGCAGGGGGGGGCCCTGCCCTGGCCACCCGAGCAAGAGCCCGTCAGCTCTCGCACTTAAAATGGGCGCGTTTTCTTTGCGAAAGACGGGGGACAAAGCGCGACGCGCTAAGGGCTGTCGCCGCCATGGCCAGAGGGCGGCGCCCGGCCAAAACCTGCCACGCATATTGAGCCCATCAGCGCTAAATGACTCAACTTAAAGCTTGAGACCCCGCGAATGGATTCAAAGTGGGCGACGCGACCGATTGAGGGGTCCCCACGTTCGGTTGGCCCCATTTGGGACCTGGGGGCGCCCAAAACTCTAGAGTTTGGCCCAGAGCGCTAAATGGTTTTCGGCCCCAAATTTTGAACCCGCCCCCGGCCGTGCTCGGCGCGCAATCTTGGAGGGGAGAAAAAAACTTCGTTTCCCGAACTGCCTTTTCATCAGCCCGCTTCAATTTTCCGCCGCCATGGGTTTCGGGCCCTTTGCAAGCCTGGGCGTGGGGCGCACTATCCGGAGCGGAGTAAAAACCTTCCGCACCCCATCATAGGCCGCTCTTAGGCCTTCTTTTCCCCCGCCCGATCTCTCGGGTGGACTATCCGGAGCGGAGAAAGAACCAGAGAGGAGGAGAGAGGTAGGCTCGTAGCGAGAGAGAGAGAGGAGAGAGAGAGAGAGAGAGAGAGAGAGAGAGAGAAAAGAGAGAGAGAGAGAGAGAGAGAGAGAGAGAGAGAGGGAGAGAGACGAAGAGAGGGAGGAATAGAGAGGGAGAGAGGAAGAGAAAGAGAGGGGGAGTGAGGGAGGGACAGCGGGAGAGAGAGAGGGGGGGAGGGGGAGAGAAAGGGGTATGTCCAGCCAGACTGCTGCACTGCATACACGAGGGCATTGATGACCTCGTGAGCGGTGACCCCCTGTGTTGATCCGGATGAGAGGGGGAAGGGCGAGGCGCGGAGGGGTTGGTCAGTTCACCAGGAGGGGGTGGGGGAAGCTGGCTGGCACATATCAACGTGTAATGGCGGCCTGGCCGGCCTGGCGGAGCGCGGGCGTGGTGCACTCTAACTGTTTGCGATTGTCACGCGCACTCATGTGTTCCCGCAGCTCTCTCTCTCTCTCTCTCTCTCTCTCTCTCTCTCTCTCTCTCTCTCTCTCTCTCTCTCTAGCTGCCCTGCATCCCTGCTGATCGGTGGCGACCAACCGCAACACGACCAGGGCCGGCGCAGCGCGACCCGGAGTCCAGCACAACACTCACGGAACGCAAGTGGCGGCGCAGACAGGCGGACGGACAGACAGACTGACAAACGGACAGACAGGCGGGACAGACAGACAGACACAACAGACAGACAGACGGACACGCACTCTTGCAAGAGGCGCCCATCCGCCGAGGATGTGCTCAAAGTGAAACGAATCAGGCCTAATGCGCTACGATTTGAAGCACTGTGTAGTCGAGGGCAATAGGCGTCACACACACTGTGTCATCCCACCACACCGTGGGAGGAAAGCGGCTTTTCAGTGAACGCATCAGGTGACGCGGTATACTCATTGGCTGCGAACTGCACAGTGAGCCAGAAGACCGGTGGAGGCGGCCGAAACTCTTGACGCGTTTTGAGCTCCAGAGTCGTGAAATGAAACTCGAACCGAACGTGTGACCCCATTAATGGATTCGTCGTTCGGAGAGCAATCCATTGGTGGGATCAAACGTTCGGTTCGAGTTTAATTCAGCGTCTCTGGACGTCAGAACTCGTCCGAGATGTTGACCGCCTCAACCGGTCTTCTGACCCACTGTCAGATGTCCGGCTTCTCAGTGTACGCACCAGAAGAGGCGGTAGTGAACGGCCTGGCTGGATTTGAAGTGTAGACGCTGGCGCCTGGCAGGTAGGCACCGCCGGACAACCAGGGCACCGCAGTGGAGATGGTGGCCTATCCGTCGCTTCGCAGGGGCTCTGGCTCGCACTGCCGCCGAGGTCGAGAGCGCCAGGTCCCGTTCCACTTGTCCGCATCGCAGCTCGGTCATCTGAGGAAAACGAAAAGCACGAGCTTAAGAGTCGGAACATGCACACTGAATGTCTACGGACACTTTTCGTAACCAACTGAAAACGATTTCTGCTCATAGTCAAAATTTAATCTGGTGACGAAATGGTAAGCAGCCTGTAGCGAACTCGTCACTAGCTGGTTACAATTTAGTCGCTAGATTTGGCAGTGCGCTGAATTGTTTCCAGTAGGTTCAAAAAGAAGGCCATGGACATTGAGAGTGTGATTTATTCACAAGCAGATCACAACATACATTTTACACGGTAAAAACGGCTCCTGGTTTTCTCAGGAAATTCCAGGCAATCGCGTATGTCATAACTATACACACGTAATCCCCTCTGAACACACAATATTGCCCATACCTGCTTTTTGTACAAATTTTGGATGCACTCTCGAAAAATTTTGTGCGATTCTACGTACATGGTGGTTTCTCATGTTTCAGATTATGTGAGACCATACGACGTACGAAATTGCACAAATTCGTTTAATAGGCTTGCCTGGAAAAAAAAGGAACCAAAATAGAATTTACTGTGCGTTTTTACAGGATCTACTGCACTTTGTACGGGATTTACTGTACCGCAGGAGTGGAGTACAGAATATCCTGTACCAGATACAGTAAATACTGAAGCCAGGATACTGAACTACAGTAAATCCCGGCAAAAAAAAATTATCGGGATTTACTGTGGTTTTTTCGCACAGTGCACAACAAAAACATTTTTGTTGTTGTTTCCAGTGGTGCCCCGGGGCACGCAGCCTTCGGCTGGAATGCTTGTTCAGTCTGCGGGCACTACACTGGTGCATCGCTTATGCCGAGCCTCCTCCCGAAGGTTGTGTCTCCGGCGCGTCATCTTCGCGTCGCCTCTCACTCCCCGCCCGCCTCACCCCGCCTCAGTCCACCCCGCCCGGCCCCCATCTTATAAAAGTGCGGCGAGGGCACAGGGCCGGGCCGACATCCCAACGAGCCGTCACCGCGCGAGCACGCCGACTGCCAATAACGCGCGCCGATGGCAAGCCGTGCACGCAGCACTTGACGCTATTCGCAGCGCCCACCGACATGGTGAGTGGCGCGCGCGAGTGTGTGTGTGTCTGTGTGTGTGGTGAGGGTGTGTGAGGGGCGAGTATCATAGTGTGGGTGGGCGTGTGAGTAGGGCGAGAGTAAGTCACACTCTGAGTGCATATGTGGGTGGATGAGAGGGCGTGAGTGATTGTTTTGTGTTTAAGTGTGTGTGTGTGTGTGTGTTTCAGTGTGTGAGTCGTTGCGGACGAGTGCCAGTGATGCTACTCTGCTTCAGCGGGATTGAAAGTAGAGATGTCGTTGAGACAATATGCGCTCACAATAATGAATCATGAAGTTCGATTTCGCACGTGCACTCTCAGCCGTTTCTGACTTTTTCCTCATTCATTACGTATTCGTATAAACAGCAATAATACTTAATATTTTCTAAGTAGTTATGACTAATTTCCTATGCAAAATTATGTACAAAGCCTGTCAATACATTACTTTATATTTCCTAAGTAGTTCTTTAAACTTTAAAAAAGGAAAAGTACGTACCATAGTTGCACAAATTACTTGCATAAGTACTGACAAAATGAGCAAAAAGTCAGTAACGTGCTGAGAGTGTGGCCTCATAAAAAATTGGTGCATGTGGAATATTCGTTGTGAACTTGAACGCTTGAAACCTTGCGAATTATTCTGAGCATACGTAAAGGTACAAACCATTTAGTTTGTTAAACAAGGAGACAGTTCGTAAACCACAAGTGTTTCCTTTGTGAGCTTCTACGCTGAAATTACAATGACAAGCGACATTCGTGTGGAAGGCCTAAAATAGGTTGTGGCGTTTTCAGGATGTGCGGAAAAAAAATTAATGTGCACACTAAATGTTATGTACAATTTTGTGCGAGACATCACAGTTTTTAGTGCACACGAAATTTTCGTACAATTTTCGTACGAAAAACTGCAAATTTTTCACCATTTTTGTACAAAATTGTACAAAATTTTGTACAAATTTGCACGAAAAGTTCGTGTGCACAAAAAACTGTGATGTCTCGTACAAAATTTGTACACAACATTTAGTGTGTGCACTGTTAAAAACTTGTTGCTCGCCTCGTCGTAACGTTACGCCTTAGTTTTCCGAGTGAATTTGCAGTGTGTTGTGGCGCGTTTCGAGTGCTGGAGTGTACCATTGCGTCTCCCTGTGCCGTAGACGCCGTCCGCCGTGCTGTTGGCCACCTTGGTGCTCCTGGCCGCCCAGCAGCCCATCGATGGCGGTAGGTCTCCCTCACTGAAACATTTTCAAAAATCGTTCACTGCTGTTGTTCCAGGAATATGATGTCACTCGTTTAAACACTTTTGTTACATGCGTTTCAATGTGAATCGCGACGCAATTCACTGGACGTTGGGCGTAGGCGTAAGTTACTGACACGGGACCCATTAAGGATAGGCTGCTATATCCGATAATCAATCAATTGAGCCCGTGTCTACCTACGCACGAAAAGCTTTACTTACTGTACGTACTTAAGCATTGGAATGCATATTTGTACAGGTGTAAGTTATGTACGAATTTGTACATAAATCACGCACAACTTAAGCACAAGACAGAAGTATCGTTCCTAATTTATGTATTAAATCAATACATAGATTAAATGTGCTCAGTTATGGAAAGAGTAAAGAACATAGGAAGAAAATCACACTCTTAATAAAACTTGTGGAAGAAATCCTTTAAAAGTCTCAGAAGCATTGAACCTCTTAGGTAAAGGAATTTTCCCACAACATTTAGTGTGTTGCCGACTCACATTGAAACGACTGTAAACGAATGTGACACGTTTCTTGCTCAAATAAATAAGACGTCAGATTGCGGGAACACAGTGCATCAGCGCGGTCCTCTGTTCTGCCCCGACAGGCAACCTGGGCAGCCTGTTCTCCATGTTCATGAAGGGTCTCGGGGGCGGTGGAGGCGGAGGCGGCAGTAGCTACCTGCCGCCGCAGCAGAGCGCGCCGCGCTCCAGCTACGGCGCCCCGGCGCCCAGCCAGAGCTACGGCGCCCCCGCCCCGCGGCCGAGCTACGGTGCCCCCGCGCCCACGCAGAGCAGGCCGTCCTCCAGCTACCTGCCTCCGAGCCGGAGCAGCAGTGGTAGCTCGGCAGGCAGCAGCAGCGGCGGCGGCGGCGGGTTCAACCTCGGCAGCATCTTCAGCAAGTTCGGCGGCGGCAAGGGCGGCGGTGGCGGCGGCGGTGGTTACGGAGGCGGCAACAGTGGAGGCGGCGGTGGCGGCTTCGACATCAGCGGACTCCTCAACATGCTCATGTCGCTCAAGAGCAGCTTCACCAGCGGGCTGGGCGGCTCCAGCGGGTCGTCCGTCAAGGGCGGCAGCTACACCCCGAGCGGCGGCTACGGTGCCCCCAGGCCGCCAAGCTCCTCCTACGGTGCACCAGCACCCGCCCCGGCACGGCCAAGCTCTTCCTACGGTGCACCGGCACAGGCGCCAGCGCCGGCCAGGCCCAGCTCCTCGTACGGGGCTCCGCAGCAGCAGCCCGCCAGCTCGTACGCGGCGCCGCCCCAGGCCAGCCTCTCGGGGGGCTCCTACCCGGCCAGCAACAGCTTCAGCAGGCGGAGCGTGCAAGGTGAGCGGGGCGGGTCGCAGCAGGCCGGAGGACCGGCGCCGGCGGCCGAAACTCTAGACGCGTTTTGAGCTCCAGAGTCGCTAAACAGGACTCGAATCGAGCAGGTGACCCCAGCAATGGATTCTTTGTTCAGAGAGCAACCCATTGGTGGGGTCACACGTTCGGCTAGAGTCCCGTTTAGCGACTCTGGGCCTGAAAACGCGTCTGGAGTTTTGGCCGCCTCCACCGGTGTTCTGGCCCACTGTCCGGTTCCGGGACGATAGCGCCTACCGAGCCGACCCGGCACCGCTGTGCTTTTGTTGCCTACCCTTCGATTCGCAGAGGCTCCCTCGGACCGGAGGTGCTTCACACTGGCAGCAGCAAGGCATTCATTTCATTCCCTTAACAAGCGTTAACCCAATACGAACGCACTTCATCCGACATTTTCGGCAACAAAGGATTATTGCCCTGATAGGGTGGATAGGTGTCTAAAGTTTGCACCTCTTTGCCACAAAAGGCATCAAATTGAAGTCCTGCTGCCAGAGCAGCTATATGGACCCACGTACAAAACGACAAGCCCTCGTCAAGACAGTTTCGCACAATATTGGTACAACATCTCCCAGTTCGGAAATGGTTCCGCAGAAAATCTGACGTGAATTCGCACATCGTGGCGTGTTTCCGACAATCAAATGAAACGAGACAGTTTGTGTGCTAAAAAACTCTAGGATCTGGTACAAATTTGTTCGGACGTTTGTTTTTAAAGTTACTAATGCTTAATGCATCTGTGCGTCCGTGTTCCAGGCTGACAGGAAACCGGAAGCTCTGAGACGAAATCAACAAAAATGAAGAACTCTAGTCACACAGCAGCGCGATCAAGAGACCCAAACTCAACCCAGGGTTTGGCGGCCGAGGCTCTACGTCACCAACCAACCCTTCTTCTGCCAAACAACAACAACACACGACAGTGTGCTTTCCTGATCAATAAATCCCAATGCAGCCGACGACGCTCGAAACCACACACACCATTAAAATGACACCCGAACTTGGGGCGGAGCGGCCTGACGAGGGCCTCGCCGGCACGCAGACGCTTCGTCGCTCTCTCTCTCTCTCTCTCTCTCTCTCTCTCTCTCTCTCTCTTCTCTCTCTCTCTCTCGCACTCAGACGGGACGCGCCATGCGTGCGAGAGAGACAGAAAGAAAAGCACCGCTCGGAATCGGCCAGCGCGACGGCACCCAATAAACCCAAGTCCAGAGAATAAAAGTTGGCCAACAACTCGGCCGCAGTCTTTCCGAATCGGTGGCCTCGGAGGCCCCACAGTGGGCCAGAAGACCGGTGGAGGCGGCCAAAACTCTAGACGCGTTTTGAGCTCCAGAGTCGCTAAATGGGACTAGAACCGAGCGTGTGACCCCACCAATGGATTACTCTCCGAACGAGGAATCCATTGGTGGGGGTCACACGTTCGGTTCGAGCCCTTATTAGCGACCCTGGGGCTCAAAACGCGTCTAGAGTTTCGGCCGCCTCCACCGGTCTTCTGGCCCACTGTTGGGGCGGATGCCCCGATACCCAACCCTTCCGCCGAAGGCGAGGCCGAGACTCCCGAACACCGCTTTCGTCGCACTGTCTCCCTCGCACCCCCACGGAACACCCCATGCGCTCGAGAGAGACAGAGCAACGAAAAGATCTGTTCGGCATCACCCTTCTTGCATTGTGGCGGTGAACTCCAGATGGACTCCAGGAGGCCTGCGTTCAAGTAGATGTTGTTGACATTTCCGAAATTTATTTTCGCCGTCACTAACAACACCCCGAGGATGCAAACCAGGCGCCGCGGGCGGTGCACCAGGAGACTGATTTCGAGGATCGTTTTCGTCGCTCAGTCTCTCTCGCACTCATGGGGCGTTCCGTGTGGGTGCGAGAGAGACAGAGCGACGAGTACGACTGTCGGAATCAGTCTGCAGCGGGGGCGCCGGACCGCTGCGTGACACGCTGAGGAAAACATGCAGGCTAAGAAGCAGAGCAAGCGAGGGAGGGGAAGGGGAAGAGGGGAGGAGAGAGAGGTAAGGGAGAAGAAGGAAGGGGGAAGGGGGAAGGGAGACCAGGAGAGAGGGGGGAGTGGGAAGAGGGATACGGGGAAGAGGATGACACCATGCAGGAGAGGACTCAGCAACGAAGGTAAGGAGGGCAGGGACAGACAAAATGATTGGCCTAGGAGAAGGTCGGCGTGGAGGCAGTGCGGTCGAGGGCCCACCAGTGACGCGAGCAAAGGCAACTGCACTCTAAATGTCTGACGAAGAAATTTCCTTTAATACGAAAGAAAAGGCGCAAGCATAAAACGAAGATGGTTTTTCTTCGTATTACGAAGGTTTTTCTTTGAATCTTACAATGAAAACGCTAAAAAGATTCGTATCACGAAGAAAAATTGCTTCGTATTATGCTTGCACCGAATTCATTGTAACATACGAATAACATTGGTCAAATTTCATGGTAAGACTTTAAGTGTATGGGACGGCTGCTGCAGGCCGGTATGGCGGTGCACTACTAGTCCATCGCGGTGCCTCTGTCCTCGCGCCCCTCTCGTTCAGCAGGATGACGGGCGTGTTCGGGTTGCACAGCGGGCCAGACGACCGGCGCCGGTGGCATAAACTACAGACTCCGTTTCGATTCGGGCTCCAGAGTCGCTAAATAGGACTCTAACCAAGGGAGTGACCCCTTTAATGGATTCCTCGTTAGTAGAGCTATCCATTGGTGGGGTCACACGGTTCGGTTCGAGTCCCATTTAGTGACTCTGGAGCTCAAAACGCGTCCGGGATTCTGACCGCTTCCTCCGGTCAGTGGGTCGCCACGCGGAGCGTTCAAAACTTAATTGAATGAAACCATAAGGATTTCAAGGCGGCACTGTCGTGGTCTCCCTCACCTTGACGATGGGGCCCAGGGGCCGTGGAAGCGAAGGTTGATGTCCGTCCTGGCGTCGTCCTCCCCGACGGCGAACTTGCATAAGGCCGTGACTTCTCCACGAAGGACTTGAACGAGTTGAACTATATCGGATTCTCCCGGTCCCGTTGTCTATAAGGCCAGACGCTCGGGAGCGCGCACGCTTATCATCTTACGTTGGTTTTCGTGCGTAATACGATGATTTTCCATCGTAAGGTACGACCAATTTCCAACCTGCATAATACGCACGAATGTCAACGTAAGGTACGCAGGATTTTCAACGTAATACGCATGTTGTCAACGTAAGGTACGTTGGTTGCGATTGTAGTACGATGACATTTCAGCGTAATACGCATGTTTTGATTTCAGCGTATGTTACGTTCGCGTTACCATCGTAAGATGATAAGTGTGCGCACTCCACGCTGGCTTCACGGCCAGAAGACTAATTCCGAGAGCCGTTTTCGTCGCTCTGTCTCTCCAACGCCCTCAAGTTTGGATTTTCAGTTAACTGGAAGTAAAATTGACTGTTGTTAGAAGTCCATCTGAAAATCATGACCGAAGGGCCCACGCTCTCAAAACATTCCTTAGAAAATGTATGAGAGGAAGAGTTCCCTCTTCAAGTCTTGCGAATAAGAGACCCAACACCACTTCTTTTTAGTACAAAGACTTTTCAACAAACACAGCATTGGGCCACACTGGGAGAAATAATGAAGATTGTGGCTGTTAAAACCCAATGCCACTCTCCACTGTTTACCGAAAGAAGGGTTTTTCCGTACCCTGGGTACAGAAGACACCGTACCTGAAAGAACGGCGTTCACTGTATCCAGGGAAACCCGCATCCACTGTACCTTGGAAAATTTTCAGACACGGCATTCAGTATAACTGTAAGATAAAGGCGAAATTCCAAAATCGCGATAGGAACGTTTCGATGACGGAAATGAATTCATCTCAACAAGACGAACAAAAAATGATAAGATGTTATGGTCTCAGACTCGTAAATTTAGTGGAAATCGTGATCAGAAGTCTAAAAAAGAAAAGGGTTTTTGGACCCCTAACATAGGACTCATCAAATTTCGTTCCAAAATTCTACTTTTTAGACTTTTGATGCCGAATCTGTTGAATTTCGAGTCTGAGCCCATAACATGCTTATCATTTTTTGTTCGTCTTGTTGAGATGAATTCATTTCCGTCATCGAAACGTTCCTATCGCGATTTTTGGGTTTTGCCTTTTCTTACAGTTATACTGAATGCCGTGCTGAAAAGTTTCCAAGTACAGTGGATGCAGGTTCCCTGGATACAGTGAACGCCGTTCTTCAGGTACGGTGTCTACTGTATCCCAGGGTACGGTAAACACCTTCTTTCGGTAAACAGTGGAGAGTGGCATTAGGTTTAACAGCCACAATCTTCATTATTTCTCCTAGTGCATTTCCCCCTCAATATTAAGCTCTATGAACTAATTACAATCTTAACAGCATACGAAGCATTTGCTTCTTGTAACTACGAAGAAAATAAAGGCATTGTAGGATTGCTTCATTTCGTACTATGAAGAAATGCTTCGTATTACGAAGGATTTTGCTGGCTTCGTAATATGAAGCATTCCTTCGTAGATTTTACCATGCCTTTATTTTCGTTGTATTACGAAGCGATTCTTCGTGGAGTTTTTACTGTGCAACACACTAAATGTTATGTACAATTTTGTACGAGACATCATAGATTTTGGGCACACGAAATTTTCGTACAATTTTCGTACGAAAAACTGCACATTTTTTGCCATTTTTGTTCAAAATTGTACAAAATTTAGTGCACATTTGTACGAAAAGTTCGTGTGCACAAAAAACTGTGATGCCTCGTAAAAAAATTGTACAAAAACATTTAGTGTGAAAGGAAAGACAAAACAGATTTGAAATGTAAACCAGCTCGTTTGTTATGTTGCCACAAATTTCTTCCTCGTACACAACAGCTACATAGTACTGCAACGAAGCATCAGTATCTGAAATAAATATGGTACTATAGACCTTGGCAGTTGCTTACTGGTTTTTTTTTTTTCAAAGCCATCTGGCTTGCTAAACCGCACCCAAAGCCCGACAGCACGCCCAGGCAGCGCGTTAATCGATGCCAAACCATGGCTGACATTGTGAGGTTAGGGTCGTCCTTCCCTCCCTATTGTAAAGCACTGAATTGAATGTGCGGAGTCATGCGGCACTTTGCGATGCTGTCGTCGCTCTGCCCTCCAGGCTGATTCCGAGGAGTGCTCGCGCCGTTCCATCTCTCTGTCGCTCCCTGACGAAGCGCCCTCTAAGTGCGAGAGAGACGGAGCGACGAAAACAGTAACGAGCTTGGAGCTGGGCTGTGAGGTCAGGGTACGTTTGTGGCGCCCCACGCCAATACTATTGGGACTTTACAGGCACTTCACTGCAAAGCCGGTGGTAAGTTTGCTTGCCACAAATTTGGCAAGCCGTTTTGAATGCCAAAACATGGCAACCTTACCCCGGAAATACCACCCAGCTTGCCAAACTTTGGATACTTAGCTTGCCAAACTTTGGCAAGCTTATGAAGATTTCCGACCAAAGCTTGCCAAATTTTGGCATTCAAAACAGCTTGCCAAATTCGTGGCAAGCAAACTTACCACTGGCTTTGCAGTGTTGCCGTGCTGCTAAAGCTAAACCCGGCCGCGAGTTGGGTGCCTTGCCTTGTTGACAATGATCAAAGTCAAGGACAGTGGGCATCATCCCACTCTTAAAAGGTGGATTCCTTATCTATTTTGAAACAAAATGATGCAACGCGTCAGTTGGGTACAAATATGTGTGCCAACGATTCTAATTTTCGTATCAAGTCAAGAATGTTACGCACGGCAAAAGCAGTTTCCTGGTTTGTTTTCACAGGTAGCCCACGGCTAAGACATAGACCATTTCCAGGAGGTATCTAAAGAAAACCTCGGACCCTTTTTGGACGTGCGAATTTTAGCATCGACGCTTCAGAATTTTACGACAGACACAAATTCTATTCTTTTCGTTTTGCTGCCAATCAGTGATACACTTTAACAATGTCATCCTATCCGCGACACTGTTCTCCCCCTCGTGAAACCGAAAAGCCCCTTTCTTGTTGCTGCTCGTCCTGGTGGCGCCGCGGCGCGCCGAGTCGGCCGAGTCCCCGTGGACGACAAATTTGTCATACTCACGTTGCAAAGCAGGCGGGGCCAGGCGAGCGCGCCGCCAAACGCGCCGCACTCTGCGAAGGCAGTGTGTTACCGCCATCCTGACCACGCCCGGACCGCCCCTACAGTGGTCACCCCCTTCCCCCTCCCTCAGGGATCACGGGAGCTGTCACCTCCATTTATCTCCAGGAAACCTGTTAGCGTCCGGCAAGACACGGTAATTGGTCCCAGAGGCGCGGCTCGAAATTCGGCGAGGAGAGGAGGACACCGACGGACTTGCAGTGGGACGTGTCGTCGCCCGTCCTTACCGTGAACTCCGTTAAAAGTCTGCGAAAAGTTATACGGAGAGGTGTGAAACGGTAACGAACGTGCACAATTCACTGATAAAACCAGCGTAGTATTACCCTAGGTCTTCAAGCGTAATCAGTTAACGCTCGAAATCAGCTGGCGTAACAGGCTCAGCCGCCTTGATTTCCCCTATCTAAATGCATGGAGGACTTTCTAGTCTTCAAGCGTAGTTTTATGCTTGACTCAAGCATAAAGTTACGCTTTAGTTTTACCAGTGTTACACTCTGAAAACTTTACAAACTATTAAACACACTAGATGTCAATGGGAACATTTTAAGCACATCATTCGGTGATACAATGTTGTGTCCACCAGGTGATACAAATTGTCCGATGCCTATTGCAATTTTTCATTTCATTGGACAAGTTGTGTCACCTGGTGGAAACAAAATTGTATCAGCGACAGATGAGCTTAAAATTGCATCATTCATGAGACCAAAAAGTCTCATTGCATTGCGTAGGACTTAGAAGTTGCTTGTTGTTATCACAAACTACTTTGAGCACACAAAAGCTGACAATGAGAAAACTTCTTTATTTACGAACTATTTCTTCGTTTTACGCACAAACTTAATTGTTTCAACCTTCATGTGCTCAAATTACTTCAAAAGGTTTTCTGCGTGTGTATGCTAGCCGGGAGAATGTGGGAAGTGGGTGGAACTCCTCTCTCAAAGATTCCACCAAAGTTTAAAAAAAATATAAAACGTTTATTTACTTTACAACTTTACAGTAGACTGGCTTATCAAAGCTTGACTTGATTCATTATTTTTTTTCTGAGTTTTATGGCGTTTTCTTGCGAGACAAGTCCAAATCGGTGGGACAGACATGTGTCCTATCACTTGTTTCATGCCCAGGGCGTTGGAGCCCAGCTGCATGACGTCACCGTTTTCAGATCTTCTGCCGAGGAAGGGTGCATCTGAGGGCGTGGCGTGGCGCGAACTGCCCGACGGCGATCACCAGCTGCCTCCTGGAAATCAAGTGGAACGTTAGCGTTGCCAGCAAACTGATTCCAAGATCGTTTTCGTCGCTCTTTCTCTCTCGCACTAATATGGGACGCATCGTGAATGTGTGAGTGACAGAGCGACGAAAACTGATCTCGGAGTCAGTCTACACTGGAAAGCACCACCTTGAACGACCTTGGAGTACACCTGAAGAAACGTTTTTCTTGCAAGACAAAGGTCAATCCAGTACAGTCAACGGAGACCTAGCAAGAAAATGGTTAGTATAAACGACGTTGACAGGCATCAGATTTTGATCGACTCGATTCGACCAACTTAGTGTTCTGACTAGCCTTGCTCCATTTCAGAAAATCGTCTAGTGAATTATGTAAGGGAATTTCGAAATTGCGTCCCCATGGTTCTTTGGCGAAAGTCCTATATTGAGTCAAAATGATAGCAAAAAGATTTGATAGAACCCTTCATACCTCACCAACGTGCAGTTCATACCAAAATTAAGAATAATCTCCCCATGAATGATTTACTCTACAAACTGAAGTGTGTACTCAGTATGCATCTGTAGACGCATACTTGCAAGTACACACCTACAGATGCATACTTAGATGAGCACACATCTGCAGATGCATACTTGGCTGAGTACACACCTACAAATGCATACCTAACTCATCCAGGTATGCATCTGATGATGTGTACTCAGCTGAGTATGCATCTGTAGATGTGTACTCATCTAAGTATGCATCTGTAGGTGTGTACTTGCAAGTATGCGTCTACAGATGCATACTGAGTACACACTTCAGTTTGTAGAGTACATTCAGCCCATAGGCTGGGTGTGAGCTCACACCAGCTGGCGAAGGCCACAGAGTTCTAGCTCCGTTCAATTTCGTCGCAGGCGAGCCACATTCGCGACACAGCTGCCCTCGCAGATCATCACCTGACCCCTGCGAAGCGAGCGGCGTGCCGCGGCGCCGCAGACCCAGTCATGGCGACGACGTGGGCAAGGTTAGGATTACTGACGTCAAACAACGGGTCCGTGTGTACCACAACTCTCGAGTTCCGTTCCTCTCTCCAGTGTCCCCCCCACCTCCCCGCTCTGACGCTGCTTCTTTTCCTCGTGGAGGCCGAGTCCCATTCAACAGCTCTGCAGACTGACTCCGAGGGTCGTTGTCGTCGCTCTGTCTCTCTCACGCACACGCGGGACACTCCAAGAGTGCGAGAGAGACGGAGAGGGCGAAAACGACTCTCGGAATCAGTCTGTGCGCGGCGCCCCTCCCTTCAAGTCGTCCTTCTTTGTGCGCTCCCTGACGCAAGCCCAGCAGACGACGCCGCCGAGACACTGCCGCCGCACTTTACCGTATTTGCACACACTGTGACACGAGTCTCTGCGCTGCACAGTGGGCCAGAAGACCGGTGGAGGCGGCTAAAACTCTAGACGCGTTTTGACGTCCAGAGTCGCTGAATGGGACTCGAACCGAACGTGTGACCCCACCAATGGATTGCTCTCCGAACGAGGAATCCATTGGTGGGGTCACACGTTCAGTTCGAGTCCCATTTAGCGACTCTGGAGCTCAAAACGCGTCTCGACTTTTGGCCGCCTCCTCCGGTCTTCCGGCCCACTCTGCGCTGCCTTCCCTGGGTCGCCGCATCGTTAGGCAGCCGAGGTGAACTTAACAGCTTTAGATACACTTCATCCGCTCTAAAAAATCATTCGGGTTTCAGTTCCGAAATTGTCCACCAAATGAAATGTTCTGACAGCGCGAAGTTTTTAACCGCGTGATCGCCCATGTTAAGTGCATCCGGAAAAGGTGTATTTTGAACCGAGCAGGTGTTTCTCGAACCGTTTCATTTATGTGGAACAAGTGAATTGAAAATATTGAATATAATTGATACACACTTGTCCCACGCGAATTATAATCAAGGAGCAAGAAACGACCTGTCCAGGCGTGGTTGAGGAATGGATGACAAAATAACTTGTAGATTACTCACCACCAGACTGCCATCCACCGGAGCTGCCGCCGCCGCCGTAGCCTCCGGAACCGCCAGATGACCACCCACGGTTGCCACCGCCGCCGCCGCCGGACCTCCAGCCGGAGCCGCCGGATCCGCCTGACTGCCAGCCGCCGCCGCTGCCGCCGCCGTGGCCGCCGCTGCCGTAGCTGCTGCCGCCGCCGAAGCCGCCGGAGCCGCCGCCGGACTTCCAGCCTGAGCTGCCGCCGCCGAAGCCTCCGTGTCCGCCGCCTCCGAAGCCGCCTGAGCCGCCACCAGACTTCCACCCAGAGCCGCCGCCGCCGCCGGATTGCCAGCCGCTGCTGCCGCCTCCGAAGCCGCCGCCGCCGCCGGACTTCCACCCGGAGCCACCGCCGCCGAAGCCGCCGCCGCCTCCTGACTTCCAACCGGAGCTGCCGCCGCCGTATCCACCGCCGCCGCCGCCTCCGGACTTCCACCCAGAGCCGCCGCCACCGCCGCCGGATTTCCAGCCAGAGCCGCCGCCACCGCCAGATTTCCAACCGGAGCCGCCGCCGCCGCCGCTGCCGTAGCCGCCGGAGCCGCTGCAGACAACAAGAGGGAATGACCTCAGTGCGCCTGGTGGCAATACCCCGCGCTGCATGACGCGTATGGAAATACCCCGCGCCGCAAGGCGACTGCCTCGCAGCGCGGAGTATGGCCGGCGGTAAACGAGAAGCACGACGTTCCACAGTGGGCCGGAAGACCGGTGGAGGCGGCGAAAATCCCGGACGCGTTTTGAGCTCCAGAGTTGCCAAATGGGACTCGAACCGAACGTGTGACCCCACCAATGGATTGCTCTCCGAACGAGGAATCCATTGGTGGGGTCACACGTCAGGTTCGAGTCCTGTTAAGCGACTCTGCAGCCCAAAGCACGTCAAGGGTTTTCGCCGCCGGCGCCGGTCTTCTGGTCCACTGTGCGTTATTGAGGAAGTACTCACCCCGACTGCCAGCCCCCGGAGCCGCCCCCGCTCCTCCAGCCGCCGCCGGAGCCGCCGGAGCCGCCACTGCCAAAGAAAGCCACGCTAATGAGAGGAGACAACGCCGTCGTAAACGACGTAAAGAAATGCGCCTGGGAAAATTGTTTCCGCAAGGTCGCTTCTCGTCTTTTTGTCGGATTCACGGTCGCGTCAGGCCGTGGGCACGCTTGCATACATTCCGCAGTTCTTTCGCTTCGAATTTTTGCAGCAGTTTGTCAGTCTGCAGCCACGATAAATTATCGCACCCTGGGGGGCAGTACTTTAGTTGATGAATATTTGCTGGGACGACCTCTTAATATTTGCAATAAGAAAGTCTTTTACTGCACAACTTGAAATTAAAACTTTAGTTCCATTTTTTTTGGGCAAGCTTCTCTGCAAGGACAGTTGTTAGTACCATTGCAGTTTGAACGTCAGTGCAAAAGACGTGCACTGTAAATGTCTTACAGTGAAAGGCTGCACCAACATATTATGGTGAAGATTTTCTCCATAATACCAACAAAATTCGTCAAAATATCTAAAAGGTTCAGTGAATTCTCAATGGTATGTTACCAAGTCAGCTGCACCACCATAAATGTGGAACATTGTCACCATAATATGGAGAATCTTCACTGTACAACAGTGTACTGCGAAGACATTTGATAGTACGTACCATCGCAGTTTGAATGTCCGTACAAAAGACGTGTGCATTCCCCTTCCTTGCAGCGTTAGATCCAACCAGGGACTCACCTAGACCAGCCAGACGTCAGGCTGTTGCCGCCCCGCTGCCAGCCGCCGCCCCCGCCGCCTCCACCGCCCCTCTGCCAGCCGCCGCCTCCGCCGCCCCCGTTGCCGTATCCGCCGCCGCCGCCTCCGCCGTTCCAGCCGCCACCCCCTGCGAAAAGAAAGGAATATGGCTGAATAAAAGAAAGACGCTGCCAGCAGACTGATTCCGAGAGTCGTGTTCGTCGCTCTGTCTCTCTCGCACCTGTGCGGGACGCCCCATGAGTGCGAGAGAGACAGAGCGACGACTCTTGGAATCGGTTTGCTGCTCGGCTAGATAAGGGGGGCCGCCAACTTGGCGACGTTTTCGGGTGCCGATCGCATGACCCATCGGAGCCACGTGTCGAACCCCTGCTGCCAGCACACTGCCGACAGTGCTCTCGTCGCTCTGTCTCACTCGCACCCAAACGGGACGCCTCAAGAGTGCGACAGAGACAGCGACGTTTCGGAATCTGCAGCCTGCAGCGGAGTAAAATTTTATTTTTATTCCGGGCGCGGCGCGGGCGACAAAAGGCGGGTACCATCGCCTCGTCGCCCTCTCGCACGTTTGCCTCGGCCAGACCGCATTCAGCAGCGAGCAAGGTTGGCACCCGTGCTTTCACTGGGTATCAGCGCCCAGGCGGCGGGCATCACCGGACCGATCACAGTGGGCCAGAAGACCGGTGGAGGCGGCCGAAACCCCGGATGCGTTTTGAGCTCCAGAGTCGTTAATTAGAACTCGAAACGAGCGAATGACCCCACCAATGGATTCCTCTCCGAAGGAGGAATCCATTGGTGGGGTCACTCGCTCAGTTTGAGTCCTGTTAAACGACTCTGTAGTTCAAAACGTGTCAAGAGTTTTGACCGCCAGCGCCGGTTTTCTGGCCCACTGAGCTGCGCGGTGCGTTCAGGCACTCTCACCTGCACCGCGCGTCTCCTCCGCTGGACACCAAGATCCGACAGAAAAAGAAGCTAACATGCCGCATTTGTTGAAATTGGACGAGCGATTCTTTAAGCTCGGACTCACGGGGCGTCCCGTGAAGGTGCGAGAGAGACAGTGCGACGAAAACAGTCTGCTGCGGTGGTGACGGTGGTGACGTCGGTGTCCGCTGACAATGGCCAACCTTCCCCTTCGTTTGAATGATAGCGGCGCCGCCGGCCTTCCCTGCCGGGCCGTGGCGCGGCGTGCCGTTGGCAGCCCTGAGCCTCCAGATTGGCGCCAAGTGCACTATGGCCGCCGCGGGCCTAGCCTAGCCGACGGACAAGGGCGCGACAAAAACCTGCAACTAATCTATCTTTCTGTCATCAACGGCATCACGGCTAAGACTCGTCCCCCCCCCTTTTCCCCCGTCTCTTCGGGAAAACGACCGATGGCCGTCAGGCAATCGGTAATCCTACGCCTATTGGTGGATTTTTGAACGAGCAACCGAGCGACCCGTGACAAAAGAGCCATTTGTTGAATCAAGAAATCATTTACGCAAAAGAAAATAATTAACTTATATTTCTTCAGTAGAACTTAATTATTATGGCGAAACAAAAACGAGTTTTCTGGGTGCGACGTTCGTAAAATTTGTCTCAGTGGAGCTTCATCTTTTCTACGCCTTGGCAGCTGGGCTTGCAAACCATAAACCGAATTTCTGAGAGGCTCATTCGAACACGAGAATAGCTCATTTCTAATTTCACGAACTCGTATTGAATGGGTGATGCGAAAACACACGCGTTCGCGCGCTCTCCACTACCAAAGGGGGAAAAGTTCAGCCGCGCGCGACTTTACAAACAGCGAGGCGAAAAACTGCACCGCCCGAGGTGTCCATTTGATTGCAACAGTGGAGGCACGAGGACTGACCGGAGAACTCTCTGGCACGGCGGACCGTGCGCTAACTCCCAATGCTGTGACCGGCGTCGCAATAAGATTCGGACACTTGAACCCCCCCTCCCCCCCTCTCCCTTCACGCCGTCGCCTTGCCCCCCCCCCCTTTTCGCCCCCTCACACTTCAAACTCCGACAGCGTCGTCCGCTTCCCTTGGCGGCCTTATTCCCTTGGGTCTCTCAAATTAAATTGCTTGCTTTTTGGCGCTATCCACTCAGAGGAAGGGAAAAAAAAGCAGTGGGGTGGAGGGGGCCGTCCCAACGCGTCCGTCCCCCAGCCAGAATGCAATGAAAACTGTTTACTGTCACTTCAGTGGGCGGAAGGAGAAATTTAGAAATTTTCACACTACACTGGACCAGACGCTTTTAACATATGGAACACGGTCTCCTTGAAACAAAATCTTCAAAATAGAAGCGTGTGACATGGAACAAGCTTAAAATAAATGTTTGCCATTTTTTGGTAGAAAATTATTTGCGATACCGACCAAATTTTTGATAGTAAATGAACTGATTTCATGGGGACATAATGCCTCTCAAAGTTCGGCATTAAATTTCTTTCCCTTGTTCTTGTAACCAACATGTCATCTTACCTCCCAAAACCTCATTCAGCACCACGCCAAGCACCACCACGGCCAAGAACACCTGCCGACAACAAACAGGATGATTCATTCCTTGTCAAAACATTTCATTCGGATACACAGTAAAAAAAATTTCAGAAGGACAAAATTATGGATGACATTTTGATGACTTTTAACTGATGACAATTTTATCTCAAATTGATGACATTTTCATTTTCATGAAAGCTTAGATACCTAATCCATGGGCGTGACAACTATGTTTTCAGATATTTTGATGGCATCACAGTGAGGAAAACTAGCCTTGCATTTGTCATGAAGTTATAGCCAAAATTGTTTCAGCGTATTAGTGAATTGTTTGCTTCGATGGCTCTCGCGACAGTTGCACTGCCACTGTGAAAATTTGAGTCGTCACTTGATGACAAATTCAAGGCTAATTTTCCTTACAGCAATGTCATCAAAAAAATTGATGACATTGTTGTCACGCCCATGCAAAAAGTATAGGAGCTTTGATGAAAATGTCATCAATTTGTGATGAGATTGTCATCATTTGAAAGTGACGAAAATATCATCCACGGTTGTCATAAAGTAAATACAAATTTTCAGTGTGGGCGTGAAAAAGTAGTGCTCGTGCCTGCCGCTCCAAGCTGGACCCTTATCTTCAACTTGGCGGCTTGGGACTCACCTTCATGTTTCCCGGTCTCGAAGAACTGATGCCGGACAGAGCCTCACCGTCCGCTTTATAGCGACGCGCAGTGCACCGAGGCCGGGGTAGGGGGCACTAGGGGTGCGTCGCGGCGCCACGGTCACTAGAATCAAGGAGGAGGGGGAGGGGGAAGAGGGAGAGGAAGAGGGGAAAAGGGGGGGGGGGGGGGCAGTCGCGCCGCTACCTTGGTCCAGTGCAGATGCGGCCAGCGCATGCAGCCACTGTGACAGCCACTTATTCGGCGGGCAATTT